GTGAAGTGTGTGCTAATACGAACCAACCTTTCGTGATCATTGGTGATTTTAACGTCACCCTCCATGAGGGAGAAAAAGATGGGGGTCGGGCTTGGAATGCGGCTCAAGCCGCCAGCCTGCGGGAGTTTGTCCATGAGTTAGGACTCCATGATCCAGATACCAAGGGGATCAGTTTACCTGGACCAACAAGCGGATGGGGGAGGCGTGCATTCGCGAACGGCTGGATAGGGCCCTTTGTTCCCAGTCCTGGATAGATATGTATCCTGAGACCTTGGTTAAACACTTTACGGATCAGGGGTCCGACCATCGGGCCCTTCTTCTCGCTGATAAACCGTACACTCGGAATAGCCGGCCTCTTTTCCGGTTTGATGCTCGTAGGGCGGAGAATCCTGAGGTTAGTGCTATGGTCCAGTATGTCTGGCAGGAGGAGCTGCAAGGCACCCCTATGTTTCGGCTTTGGGAACGCCTCAAGAAACTCAGGCATCTGCTGTATGATTGGAGTAGAGCGAGAACCACAAACTCCTTGCGTAATATTAGAACTCTCCAGGCTGAGGTTGACCGAGTCAAGTCCATCTATCCTGTGAATTGGGATGCGGTTCGAGCCCTGGAGATGGAATCATCTCGTCAATGGGATACGGAGGAGTTGTACTGGTAGCAGAAATCCAGGGTCCGATGGCTGACACGAGGGGACGAAAACTCATCTTATTTCCACACGGTTACGCGTGCTCGTCGGAAAAGTAATTTTGTCGCCGGGCTCCGGGATGATGAGGGTGAGTGGGTTACGGAAGAGAGCGGGAAGGCTAGGATTGCTACCAGCTTTTACCAATCTCTATTTACCTTGGAGTCCCAGGTGCACAACATGGCTGATAGAGTGGCGAGCCTTCCAATCCCCCAGTCGGTTACTCCGCAGATGAATGCGCTTTTAACGGCGGTGGTTTTGCAAGAGGAGGTTCAGAAAACGGTCTTTTCTATTGGATCGAAGCAGGCACCGGGGTCGGATGGCTTTACCGGCAAATTCTTCAAGGCATTTTGGGATGTTGTGGGAGCATCAGTGGTTGAGGCGGTTTGTTCTTTCTTTTCGACTAGTCGAATGCTACGGAGTTTTAATCATACGTGGCTTACGTTGATCCCTAAGGTAGATGTTGTGGAAAATGTCCGCTAGCTGCGTCCGATCAGTCTATACCAGTTCGTTTATAAAGTTATAACCAAGATCATGGCTGAGCGGCTGGCGGGTTTGCTCCCTCAAATCGCGTCTGAGGGGCAAAATGCGTTTATAAAAGATCGGCAGATCATTGATAACGTCCTTTTTGGGCATGAGTTAATGCATTATCTTAAAATAAAAAGGCAGGGGAAGAAGGGGTACATGGCTCTAAAGGTTGACATGGAAAAGGCCTATGATAGAGTCGAATGGCCCTTCCTTCTAGCAGTTTTGGAAAAGATGGGTTTTAACTCTGTCTGGCAAGGATGGGTACATGAATGTCTTAGTTCTGCTACTTTTTTGGTTCTGATGAATGGTACGCCTTCGGGTTTTTTCGGTTCCTCTCGGAGACTCAGACAGGGAGATCCGTTGTCGCCTCTCCAGTTCGTGCTCTGCACGGAAGGGTTTGCGGCCCTTCTTCGGAAGGTGATCTCTGAAAAGAAGTTGGAGGGGGTAAAGGTGGCACCGCGTGCTCCGAGGATCTCGCATCTATTTTTCGCGGATGATTCCTATCTATTCCTGCGAGGTTCTCTTCAGGAGTGCGAGAATTTAATTGTGGTGCTCAATGAGTATGAGGAGCTGAGTGGGCATCGGGTTAACCTGGAAAAGTCGGCAGTTTGCTTTAGCAAAAATGTTGCCTTGGCTGATCAGGAGTTTCTGGCTGCGATTCTTGGGGTCGGTGCAGTAGGGGTTCATGATAAATATTTGGGGTTACCCACTTTGATTGCCCGATCCAAGATGGCGACATTCAGGTATTTGGAAGAGAAACTTCTGGCGCGTTTGCAGGGATGGAAACAGAAAACTTTATCATGGGCGGCAAAGGAGACTTTAATCAAGTCAGTTGCTTTGGCCTTGCCCCTGTATGTTATGTCATGTTTCCGGTTGCCCCTATCCCTGTGCCATTTGTTGGATAGACATGTGGCCCGTTTCTGGTGGGGAGTTGAGGAGGGTCACCCCAAGATTAGGTGGGTGTCCTGGCGGAACCTGTGCCGGAGCAAGCATGAGTGGGGTTTAGGTTTTCGCAGGTTTGAACACTTTAACCAGGCTCTCTTAGCAAAGATTGCCTGGCGTATTCTCCAAGAACCGCATTCCCTCCTGGCTCAGGTGTATAAAGGGAAGTATTTTCCGCAAGGCTCGTTTCTGTCTGCGACTGCCCGGTCTAGGCCTTAGTGGGGTTGGCAGAGTATCCTGTTTGGGCGTCAGCTTTTGGAGGCAGGTTTACGATGGCAGATAGGTAATGGCCTTTCGGCCTCCCTGATACATTCTAAATGGATTCCTAGGCTTCAGTTGGAGCTCCCATGCTTTAATCCTCGCATCCTGCCAAATGACGGGGATCCCTTGGTGGCGGAGGTCATTTGTCAAGGGGAAGGGCGGTGGGATGAGAATAAGCTGAGTCAATGGTTTGACCCTGCTGTCTGTCGGGCTATTAAGGCTATCCCTCTTCCAAGAAGGAATGTGGATGATAAACTTATCCGGCATAACACAGCTGATGGGATGTTCTTAGTTAAGACGGCTTATCATCTGGCAGTGGACCTTGACAGAAGGAGGGGTGGGTGGCGGGAGTCGGTGAGTTGGATGGATAGGAAAAGCTGGATCCGGCTGTGGGAGGCTAAGATCCCGCCAAAGCTTAAAGTCTTTGTCTGGCAAATTTTGAATCGGGCCCTGCCAACCACTGAGGCGCTCATTGAAAAGAAGGTTCCTGTGTTGCCCCGGTGTCCAGTTTGTTGGGAGGGTCCCGAGACTATGGAGCACTTGTTTCTTTACTGCCCGGTTGCTCGGGCCCTCTGGGTTCACTCGGGGTTGGATTATCTTGGGGAGGCTTTGCCTCGGCACACGTTTCCATTGTTTCTAAAGCGAATGCTTGCCCTGATCCATGATCCGTCGCTGTTTATGGCAGTGGTTGCCATCCTCTGGCGGATCTGGCGATCGCGAAACTGGGTTGTCTTTGAAGGCAAACAGTTTGGGATTCCGGCTTTAATGCGCCAATTTCACCAGCAAGTCGAGGAATGGCTGGGTCTGCCAGTTGACCGGCAACCAAGGAGGTCGTGCCAGGGGGTCCAGCACGGGACCCAAGTGGATGATTCTCGGTTGGTGTGCATGTGGGACGGGGCAACTAGGAGGGGATCACACTCGGCTGGAGGGATGGTTCTTTGTGGTCAGGGAAGGTCGGTCCTTCGGGCTAAAGGTGTGCAATTTGCACGAATTGATGAGCCGATGGTGGTGGAACTGCTGGTGCTGCGTGAGGCTATCACTTGGTGTTTAGAGTGGGGTTTGTCCGAGGTTCGGTTCGAGGGTGATGCGAAGGTCATTATTGACAAGATTAATCAAGCCGATTCTCGGGACAATCACTTGGGGGCAGTCCTGGAAGAGATTTGTCAACATTTTGATGCCCATCCGGGGTTTAGTGTGCGGTTTGTAGGTCGGGATAACAATTGGGTAGCTCATTCGGTAGCTAGAAAAGCCCTCTCTTTGTACCCGTCTGGGAATCGTTTGTTTGATTTCAGGGCCTGGCTGCTCTCCAGGATGTAATTATCTCTTTGATTGGATTAATATATATTACCTTTTGACAAAAAAAAAAGAAAAAGAATATCTATCTATAAAATATATAATGATTAATGAAGATTAATGAGTTGGATTTCCAGCGTTTTGAATTTTCTGGCCTGTGACGATTTTACGGAAGGACAACTCAGTTAATTTACCTGATAACTTTAATTAAGTTTTGCGTTTTGATTTCCTCAATTGTTCCTCCATTTCGCTGCTGGCAATTTGAGGCCCTAATTTTGGTAACTTCAAACTTCAATGGGCCGGATAGAAGTGGTAGGCCTATGGGTTTGGACAAAATCATTTAAGTTGGCCCACTGACATTGACTGAAGTAATAGAAGGAGTGTCTTTTTGTTCAGCAGCAGAAGACACCAATTTCGGGACATTGTATTTAGGGGTGAATAAACACACCCGCAAACCGACCCACCCATCCAACCCGACCCAACCCACTCGTATTTATCGCTAAATCGAAGGTTTTGGGTTGGGTGAGGGTTTTCTTTTGTACAACCCGCCTCTTTTGGGTTGGGTTTGGATTTTGGATTACACAACCCGTAGAACCCGACCCGACCCGTGTTCCAATTATTGGTTTGAGTTCGTATCCAAAAAAATATTTATGTCGTATATAGTTATACTTATAAAAAAAATTAAGATATTTCGCCATGTTTTCCTCTTAAAGTCTCACTAATCTAATGCATTCTTCGACTTAAAGTTTAGACATATATTTAATATAGCTATGATTCACGTAATTATTTTTCTTGTGTACAATTTTAAAAGAATATCATATTATGGATGCGTTCATTTGTAACCTTTTTAGCCTATTTCAACAAATGTCGTGAAAGAAACTAGACATAAGTTGAAGTAAATCAAGTTTTATTAAAATTCAAACAATATTTGTGAATTTTGATACCTTTCACCTCGGTTCATTCGTTTGAATTTTTAAATTGTTATAAAATATTTTTATGATGTAGAATAATTACATATTTTGTGTTGGGTTGGGTTTTTACTTAAAAATATCGCCAACCCGACCCAACCCAATTAGAAACAAACCGTAGCGTTTAGAATTTTTTGGGTGGGTTTGAGTTTAATATTTCCCAAACCGTAGTGCATGGGTCGGGTGATTAAAATGCCTAAACCCGGACCACCCGACCCATGTACACTCCTAATTGTATTACATTTTCTCCTTCACAATCTCCATTGTTATTTTCCCATCACTTCTTACATAATCCATGCATGCATTTGGGCGGCCTTAGAATCATCATTGTCTGTCTTTTCCATTCATTACTATTAGCCATGATTTCAGAGGAAGTGTCAGGGGAGACTTATCAGTTACTCTATGGGAAGCTAAGAGAGCTCAAAATTAGGTTGAAAGTTCTGAATCGTTCACGCTATTCAAAAATTCAGAAAGAACCAGAGAAGCATAGCGTAATTTAGAGGAATTTCAATTGGCAGTATTAGTGGATCCAAGAGAAGAATTGATTCAGCAAGAGCTTGAATTGAATTAGAAGGATTATGTAAGCAATTGCAGCATACAAAATCAAGGGTTCAATAGGTTAAGGAAGGAGATGCAAATACAATGTACTTTCATGCTTCAATGAGACCTAGGATAGGAATCATCAGCAAAGTATCACAAGATTGCTTACTGAAGATGGAAAAAGCGAAACTAATGTAATGAAGATGCGTGAGGTGGCGGTTGAGTTTAACAAGGGTGATAACGTTGGATTTATACATATTTAGTACCTCATTTCGTAGGCATTTGAGATCATATTATTTCCAATTAAGACGATTTTACACTAGGTTGTGTCTATGTGTGGTATTTCAGGTCCTAAAACGTGAAACGAGGCCTAGAAGCGGATTTCCTGATAAGCTGGAGACAACGGACAAGAGTTAGCGGAACTAGGCAGATTACTCGGCCTGGGTCCTGGATTACCCGACCAGGGATTTGGAGATGAGACGGCGACGAAAAAGAAGAATTGCCAAGGGTTGAGGAGAAAAGAGGGTCGCACAATTGGTTGGTGTGGGGGATGAATTAAAAAAATTTTAAAGTTATTATTTTATTACTTTTTAATTTTTTATACTTTTTTAATAGTTACATTTGGGAAATAGATTTTTACTTTTTTGGGTCAAGTTTTACTCACGTGAATTCGTTGAGCTGTATATTATTTTAATGACGTGGCACGTCGAATTTTCATTTTTGGGTTATATTATCCTAATTAGGTGATTTTGTTAGCCGCTTTAGCAATAAATAGATTTCGTTAACGGAGACTAAAACCCAGTGACCAAACTGGGACTACATACCTAATTTTAGTGGAATTTTTTTTTTTTTTTGAAATAAAATAATTTTAATAACAAGCATGAAATATTTTAATAATTCCGGTGACCAATATTACAATTTACCCATCATAATAATACACTAAGATTTATCAAGAAGGCCACAGAAATTCGGACGGCGAAAACCATATCGAATTACATTCTCCTTGGAAGGCTTCAGAAATAGCATGTAGATAAGAAAGATAACTATAACCGGCGTTTAATTTGTATTCTCTGGTTAGCGAAGTTTCCAGTTTCAGCCAACCAATTCAGCCATGGAAAATAGGGTCTGTAGCATCATGAAGTCTCCCTTTTCTGGTTGCATCTGCTCCGGCCACATGATAAATTGAAAGCTGCTCAAACTTTTCAAACAAGTTCGTGATCTTCTCTTTTTTCATTTCATCAATGCTGACCTGATACATTATTAACATGTATATAAGAAAATTTTGTAATAATGGAAAAAGCAAAGAAAGAAAAGCCTGAAGATGAAGAAGATGACGACCAAACCTGCTGCCGGAGGGAAGGATTGGTCGATATGAAGAGAGAAGAGGTTCGAAGCGCATTGGGCAGTTCTGGAAATGGGGCGCGAGGATCTTATGAATCATATGTCTATTATTTTATCAAGAGATTGAATAAACCAAAGTGAGAGGGAAGTGTGAGCATAACTCGCACCTACCAGCTACCATTAAGAAATAATAAAGTTAACATATATATACATATCTGAGATGATGTGAAGTTGTTAAAAGCGTTTCAGCTTTGAATGATCGAGACATGCGGTGCGACTGAGATGTCATGGTAATTGGTTAGGGGGTTAAAGTCCAATTTATTAGTAAGGTGGTAACACTAATTCTAACCAATAGAATATTTCATTTTGGAAACTTTTTCGTTTCAAAAGGTCGATCACAATTGAGACTTTTTTTTTTTTACAACAACAATCATCATTTCATTCCAAACCCACACAAGTGGGAAGCAATACAATTACAATAATGGAGCGACAAGATCAGCAATGACAATCCATTCAGGAGGAAGGAGATCAAGCCGAGCGTTTCTCGCAATCCAATCCGCAAAGGCATTAAATCGACGGGGAACAAACTCAACCACGATCCAAGGAGAGACACAGAGAATGGAAACAATCCGGGCAAGAGTTGCCCGGCATTGCCATGGCCAAAGGCTCGGATCCTGAGTCAACGCAATCGTCAACCTCTGGCAATCAGATCGGACACACGTTGGAACTGGATCCAGGGCTGCCAAAATAACTGCATTAAGAATTGCAACAGCTTCCGCTTGAATCGGAGAAGAACAAAAGAATCTCTCAGCTTTCCCGTCGATAACCTGACCGTGGGAATTAGCAATAGCAATCTCATAAGCCGCCACCTGTGCATCAGAGACAAAGGAACCATCACAATGCACAACCTTACTATAAGGACCAGGCGGTGATAAGGTCGTCGATCGAGAACTCCCAGACTGAGAAGGCAAACCGACTGATCCGGAAGAAGGGGAAGTCGTGCCCGAAGTCCACGCTTCCTTAACCCTTTGAGAATCACGATCAGCAAGAATTGCCACAGTAGGTGGGGAGAACACCTTTCCTTCAAATACCATTCCATTACGAGCAATCCAGACATTCCACATCGTACACACAATCTTGCAAATCTGGTCCGTTGATGATCTATCCCTGAGATTGAAGAACCAATCAGCAAAACTGGAGTCCGCAGCAGGGAAAAAATCTACCAGGCCAAGCCGAGACCAAGTCTCACATGCCTTGGGGCAATAGAACAAGCAGTGCATAACGGTTTCAGCATTCTCATCACACAGCGGCCACAGAGGGCAAAGAGCACACTTGCGTTCAAACAGCCTCGCCCGTGTTGCAATTGCATTCCTACCACACTTCCATACAAAAAACCGAAGTTTAGGGGGCAAGTTGAGATCCCAAAGCCATTTCCAGTCGTCCTTGTTCGGTCTTGAAGAGGGGACCTCATCTGTCGAAGGGGAAGAATCTCTCACCTCCCGAAACAACCGGTAGGCAGACTTCACACTGTAGCTTGAGACGGATTTATAGAGAGAAGCCACGCTTGCAATTAATAAACATAGGGGACACACGCGTGCGGCACTGTGCATTAATTTCGCCGTCCTGCGCCTCACTACAAATGTTAGGAAGCAGAGCACAAATCATAGAACATAAACACAACATATCACATCACATCACAAATATCATAAAGCATATCAGAATGGTTGTAAAGCAAACCAAAACCTCACCACGCCACATAATTCATAAAGCATATACGAGAAAACTCAAAGCAAAGCACAAGTTCTCTGAAGCAGACGAAAAGTTTTTAAAAACGGACCACAAGTTTATGATAGTGGACCACAAGTTTCTTAAAGCAGACCACATGTTCCCTTAAACATACCAGAAACCTCATTAAGCACACAACAAATTTAGTAAAGCAAACCACCAGTTTCATGAAACAGACCAAAACCTCATAAAGCAAACAATAAGTTTATTAAAGTGGAACACAAGTTTCTTAAAGTATACCAGAAAACTCATAAATTTATACCTATTTGTAAATTTTAAAATGTTTATGTATCAATGTAAGACACAAAAATTTTAGGTACTAAAATTTATTTTTTTATCAAGATTTTTAGGACTTATATTAAAGGGGGAAGGAAGTTGCTATGAGTGGCTAGTCACTATAATTCCCTAAATGAATTATGCTAGCATGGTGCTAACACTAAAGGGTGTTAGCAACCTATCCGGTCAGGACTTGTTAGTCTTTAAAATGATTATCCATAATGATTAGTGATTAATCAATATTTTATAAGTGAATTGATTTCACTTAGTAGTTAATCATAAATTAACTTATCAATTAGTGGTTGATCGCTAAACAAATAAATAACAACCTACTATAATCTTATCATTTTAGGTTACGACTAATGGAAAAATCTCGAGATTCAAGACCAACGAAAGTCACAAGAGCATTCCAAACCTCACCTATCGCAAACCAAAGTCTCAAATGTCCCAAAGAATGAGAACCCAAAAGTCATCCCTCTATCCATCTCCCATTTGCAGTCAACCAACTGAACCTCAATCCCTAGTAGTCTTTGTGTCCTTGATGTTTATGAATGGTGGTGATCTTGTGATCTTGTGTATGATCTTGTTGAATTGAATTGATTGCACCTTGACTTCTTTGAACAACGATCAACTTAACACGGTTCACACCTCTTTCAAACAAAGTTCGAACGATGGTGTCAATGTTTACACGACTCACAAAACAAATTTATGTTAAGTTACTCCTACTCTTATGGAGGTTCAGTGAGAGCTCTAAATCTACGACTATGGCTAAAATTATAGTGGGAAAAAAAGGATAAAAGTTGACATTGTGTTGTCTGTTGTGAATTTGGCGACCCTCTTCTCTATCAACTCCTCCTACTATTTATAGCTTTGAAGTGGTAACCGTCGTAGAGAAACCGTTTGAGAGTAACTTCCACAAAATAACTGCTCCCATTCTTCCTCGGATGTGGCTGACGTGTCCTTGAACTTGGGATAATCGACAGTTGCCCTGTTAACCGCCTGCTTTCTCTTTTGGAACTGATGACTTGTTACTTTCCCCTCTTTTACCATGGCCATTCCTGATCTCAAGACGAGGGCCTTCTACATCTGACGGCTAGCATGGTGTCTAGATCTCGCGACTACCTTGGTCTACTAGACTTGACGCCAACGTGGTCTAGATCTCGCGACCACCTTGGTCTATTGGACTTAATGCCAACGTGGTCTAGATTTTGCAATTACCTTGGTCTACTAGACTTGACGCCAACGAGGTCTAGATCTCGCGACCACCTTGGTCTACTAGACTTGACGCCAACGTGGTCTAGATCTCGCGACCACCTTGGACAACACAACTCGCAACGATCATGATCTAGTAGAATCGCGACGATATTACTTCCTTCTCGAAGACTTAGTGATTTGGGCTTAAAAATCTAGTACCATAAGGCCCAGCTAAAATAACATTAATTATTATTATTGATTTGGCCTTAAAAAGATCATTAGTGTCTTGTAAACAATCAATGTGGTACAAAGCTAATTTTAGGTATAAATAAATGTCCCCCCAACTACTTACTCCATAAGAATTATGGACTAAGTAGTTGACACCGCATATAATTCCAACACATGTCGTCTCTTTACTTAGCCAAATTTGACTATCACATCAAGCCAACACGACCAGATGGAACTAGACATCAAAGCTTAGCTCATGCCTTAGCCAAGTGTTCCTCCATTTCGCTGCTGGCCAAGGTTGTCAAACCGGTTTATGCCAGTGTGCCGGTTTAGCAAGTGGAATGGTTCGACCGGTGGTACATACTGGTTAATATTACAAATAATTTACAAATACTCATATTTAAACACAACATTTAATGTAAATACCTAAATATTTGTACTTGAATCCAACAAATAACATCAACATTTAACTTTTTAACGCATAAAACAAATAATAAATTACCTTTTATCAATATATTTCACTAAAATTAGATCATTTTACTTGGAGATTCGTATATCGATCATGCCGGTCATACCAGTGGTATTATGCCAGTTTTATGACCGGTATAAGTTGAACCATGTTCAACCAGTGGCACGTCGGCCGGCGTGACAACCATGCTGCTGGCAATTTGAGGCCCTAATTTTGGTAACTTCAAACTTCAATGGGCCGGATAGAAGTGGTAGGCCTATGGCCCTATGGGTTTGGACAAAACCATTTAAGTTGGCCTACTGACATTGACTGAAGTAATAGAAGGAGTGTCTTTTTGTTCAGCAGCAGAAGACACCAATTTCGGGACATTCTATTACATTTTCTCCTTTACACACTCCATTGTTTACAAATTTATAATTTAGAGGAATTTCAATCGGCAGTATTAGTGGATCCAAGAGAAGAATTGATTCAGCAAGAGCTTGAATTGAATTAGAAGAATTATGTAAGCAATTGCAGCTTGTTGAGGAGAGTTTTTATCATACAAAATCAAGGGTTCAATGGGTTAAGGAAGGAGATGCAAATACAAAGCGCTTTCATGCTTCAATGAGACCTAGGAATCATCAGCAAGTATCACAAGATTGCTTACTAAAGATGGAAAAAGCGAAACTAATGTAGTGAAGATGCGTGATGTGGCGGTTGAGTTTTACAAGGGTGATAACGTTGGATTTACAAATATTTAGTACCTCATTTCGTAGGCATTTGAGATCAGATTATTTTCAATTAAGACGATTTTACACTAGGTTGTGTCTATGTATGGTATTTCGGGTCCTAAAACATAAAAAGAGGCCTAGGAGCGGATTTCCTGATAAGCTGGAGACAACAGACAAGAGTTAGCGGAACTAGGCAGATTACTCGGCCTGGGTCCTGGATTACCCGACCAGAGATTTGGAGATGAGACTGCGACGAAAAAGAAGAATTGCCAAGGGTTGAGGAGAAAAGAGGGTCGCACAATTGGTTGGTGTGGGGATGAATTAAAAAAAAAATAAAAGTTATCATTTTATTACTTTTTAATTTTTTCATACCTTTTTATTAGTTACCGTTGGGAAATAGATTTTCACTTTTTTTTGTCAAGTTTTACTGACGTGAATTGGTTGATCTTTATATTATTTTAATGATGTGGCGGGTCGAATTTCCACTTTTCGGGTTATGTTATCCTAATTAGGTGATTTTGTAAGCCGCTTCAGCAATAAATGGATTTCGTTAATGGAGACTAAAACCCAGTGACCAAACTGAGACTACTGAACTAATTCCAGTGGAATTTTTTTTTGGAATATAATCATTTTAATAACAAACATGAAATATTCTGAATTGCTATTTGTCGCCCTAAATTTTTTTAAAAGTCGCCCTAAACCATGACAAATTAACGTTTATACCCTTAACTCTAATTTCCCTAATCCCTACCACCTGTGTCGTCCCGCCAACTGCCGATTTCCAACCACCGTCGCTGCCGTTCTCCAAACCCGCCGCAGCTCCATTCCCCAACCGTCATTCTATTTGCTGTTGCGATTCCCCCAATTCGCCGACCCGCTCCTGTTGGCGAGGAAGAAGGAAGCAGAAGGAGGAAGAAGGTCTGGGTAAAACCCAATCCGCCGCTGCCGTTCCCGCCGACCCGCCTGTTTCTTCAGCATGCGGACTAGCTGTTTTTTTTATATACATTCCCAGCGGGCAGGTTGAAGCAGGTAATTTTTATATTTTATTCATTTCTTTTATTGGGTGGTGATGGTGCACCATTGATTGGTGAAACATTAAGCAAAACTTCCGGTGATGATGACGATAATTGGTCCTCCGGTGAGGCTGTCGGCTTCGGCGACAAGTGGATGTATATTTGTTTTAACTTTTAAGGTTTGAAAAACAAAAGATAAACTAAGAGCATTGGAGTAAATTTAATATAGTTAGGGCGACAAATAAGGATTTTTAGAACGACGAATAGCAATCCCCGAAATATGTTAATAATTCCTGTGACTATTGCAATTTACCCATCATAATACACAAAGATTTATCAAGAAGGCCACAGAAATTCGGACGGCGAAAACCATATCGAATTACATTCTCTTGGAAAGCTTCAGAAATAGCATGTAGATAAGAAGATATTATAAAGTCTCCGTTTTCTGGTTGCATCTGCTCCGGCCACATGACAAATTGAAAGCTGCTCAAACTTTTCAAACAAGTTCGTGATCTTCTCTTTTTTCATTTCATCAATGCTGACCTGATACGTTATTATTGTACAATTATATCAATGTACAGGGGCGATGGTAGTTCTATCTATAGTTAGTAAATACTCCGTTTAATACATGTATATGTACCCATACGTACTTTATCCGTTTAAAACTTCCGTATTCATATTATTGTCAAGTCGTTTTATTTTCTTACGTTCATTTGATGACTCCCGTAATAAATACGTATAAAATCCGTAAAACACGTTTAATATCCGTATTTAATGAATTAAATTATTAATTTTATTATATATATATATATTTATTTATTTATAAAAATAATTAATTATATGTATTTATGACTATTAACATACTATTAAACGAAACATTAGCTTAAAGACACAGTAAAATACCCGTACGTATTTTATACGTAACTTTTCCGTATCGTATTTTACTAACTATGGTTCTATCAGTGCAATGGTAGTTCAAAAAAAGAAATGTTAATTAATATGAGTTCAGTGTACAGGTGCAATGATGGTTGTATTAGTAATATGGTAGTTCAAGAAAAAGAATGTAATTAATATGAATTTTTAATTCCCAAAGATTATTTAATGGAACACGAATTTAATATCATAATTAATAGGGGTATTGGAAGGTTGGGTTAAGGTAATTTACTTTATAGTACTTATAATTAGAAAACAAGTATCATTAAATTTTTCATTCATTACATTATATTAATATGTATATATTTTTTAAATGTATATTAAAAAACAAGTCAATCATTAAATTTTTCATTCATTACAATATATGTATCTATTTGTTTTTTAAATGTATATTATGTAGTACTCATAATATTATTGTTAACTAGGTACTGGTTCATTAATGTTTTTTATAACTCTTCAACACCAATTAGACCACTAAAATGTTAGCCTTTCATGATACCGATTAATACATCGGTTTGATTCTAACAACATTTTTTTCCCAGTAATTATCCTAACAACATTGTAAAGAACGGTTGAACCACGACTTTTGTACAAAATATCCTCTTTTTTTGTTCAAAAGTAAAAGAAAATATCGCACCACTCACTTTTTAATATAATTGTCACAATTCTAAAATAAAGACAGTATTAGAAATTGAAACTCCATGGTCTTTCTTCAGGCAAAAATAAAAATTAAAAGAAATCACTAATCTATGGATATGGTAGAGCACGACCAAATGTTTGATGACTAAATAAAAAAAAAAACAGCAGATAGAACAGAACGCAAGGAATGAACACTAACACCCAGATTCACCAACAGAATGCCTTTGCCCGAAACTCATCTCCACTCTCCATCTACCGAGCATCTGCGGATGTGAAAGAATCTGCGAACCCGGAAGGTCGAGTAGTAACGCTAGTCTGCGTATTGTCTAGGCTGCCACAGCTGCCATACCTTAAAGTGGAGATGCTGGGCTGGTCGCCTTCCTGCCACTTCTTCAGCGCCTGAGGCAATGTCATGTCACAATCAATCGTCTCATATGCATCTTCTTGGCCAGAACGGTTGTCCACCGGTTTCCAGAGCTCCGCAAGGGAGCTAAGGGTGTTAACGACATGGCTCATATCAGGTCTCTGGTATGGCTCCCTTGCAGTGCAATGACCCGCTAAGTCAGCAACCGTATTAATGCTGCCAAGTGTATCATCGTTGAGCTCAATCGACGTGTCAATCACCTGAGGGAACGCCTTCTTGTCGATGTGCATCCTTCGGAACCACGTTGCTAGATGCGACCTCTCCTCTGGCTCGGTTCCATCAAGAGCTCTCCTTCCTGTGATAAGTTCCATTAGTATCACCCCAAAGCTGAAGACATCAACCTTGATCGTCACCCGTCCGGTCACTGTCCCACAAACAACAAAATTAGTTCTAAGCTGCCGCTAGTATGATAAAAAGTAATGTCATCGTGTGTGCATACATGGTACCAATGTTCAAGCACATTCCACGAATTTCTCTTCCAAGGATATATAGGTGGATTTAAAAGAAAATTCACAAAGAATAAGAGCATACCAATACCATGCAGCCTACTCTAGAAATAGACAAATCTTAAAACAGTTCAGTATCTACCATTAACCCAATATATAGTAATAAAACGTAGAATACATAGCATAAACCTATAAGTTGGGGGTAGGCTAGATGATGATTGTACCTGCATATTCTGGAGCCATGTACCCAAAAGTTCCAGCAAGTCTGGTTGAGAACGAGTTTTTTCCATCAGGGGCAAGACGGACCAACCCAAAATCAGCTACTTTAGCGCGCAAGTCATCTCCTAGAAGAATGTTCGAGGGCTTGAGATCCCTGTGAATAAAGCTTTGGTGGGCTAGACCATGAAGATACTCAACAGCTCTAGCAACATCCAATGCAATTGTAAGTCTTCTTGTCCATTCCAATGGCTGCAATCCTTCTTCCTTCCAGTTAAACAGAAACCTACTAAGCGTCCCCTGAGGCATGTATTCATAGACAAGAATCTTCTCATTGCCTTCCAAGCAATATCCGAGAAGCGAAACCAGATGGCGGTGCCGAACCTTAGTAAGCACTGCAATCTCAGAGGTGAACTCTGTCAGACCCTTATCACTCCCTACTGCTGCAGATTCCATCCGTTTCACCGCAATTTTTGTTCCATCGGGCAATTCGCCCTTGTAAACCGTCCCGAACCCACCACTTCCAAGTATGTTGTCTTGACTGAAGTTATTAGTCACCTCTCTCAAGACTTGAATGGAGATCACCAAGCTCCCTGCTTCAACAACATGGATTTCTGAAGAGCCATTGCTGGTAACCGTGTTGCTCTCAGATAAAGCATTAGACCTCGACCCAGCAACAGTTATCTTCACAGCATCATGGTCTCCCGAATGACGAGGATGAATCACCACTGTATTTGGACTCTGTACCTTGCTATATCTCTTCCTTTTCATACAGTAGAGAAAGAAACCCAACCCACCTAGACCCAACAAACTAACAACTCCAACGACAGAACCTACAATCTTCCCAGTACTGGAATTCTTACCACCACTTCCATCATCCGAGGAACCATCGCCTCCTCTACCACCTGGAGTCTTGCCAGGAGGTGTACCAATGTCCTTACCGATATCAGGGTTCCCGTCATATCTGACGCTTACACCACCATTAAAGCTAGGAACTTTCCCATGGAGATTGTTATGGCTGACATCCAACACTTTAAGATTGAGCAACTTAGCTAGATCGCCCGGGATTGTACCAGAAAGATCATTGTTCGACAAAATCAAGTTCTGCAATGAAGTAATGGAGGCAAAATCAGGAGAGATTGAACCGGTGAGCCCCTTGTTATCGAAGTTGATTGTTGTGATGTTCCCTCCTGATGGAGAACACTGAATTCCCAACCAAGTGTTGCAAGGATCATTCCCCTTCCAGCTATCAGCAAAAACAGTGGGGTACCCAAACGCTTCTACAGCGGACAACAGGTTATTAATCCGAGCATCACAAGCATCACCAGGTTTAGGCAAACAAAACCGATTCGTTTCAGGTTCCATATCCAGCCCAATTGAGCTGGGGAATTCCGGGGTGGGCCCTTGAAGGAGATTATTTGTCAGGGTCAAGTTTCTTAGGGGAAGCTTGGCTAGAGACAATGGAACAATACCAGTCATCCGATTATCTCTCAAGTTTAAATCCTGCAGCAGCGACGAACCATCTGGAAATTCCGGTATGGGACCCGTAAAGCCATTGCTCTGCAGCCAGACCTGGGTCAAAGACGACATGTTCTGCAAGACGGTAATGGTGCCGTTGAGCTTAGAATCGCTCAATTGGCTGTTGAGCCAGAGAGTGACGAGATTCGAACCGGAAGAAGCCGCAGGCAGCGGCCCTTGTAAATAATTGTATGCCAAATGCAAATGGTTGAGTCCGGGGAAGGAATCGCCACTGAAGAGGAAATCAGGGACCGCACCTTGGAGGCTGGCGTTGTTGGCCGAGAAATTCTTGAGCCCGGCGGAATCCTTGAGGGTGGGCGGGATCGACCATCTGGAGAGCGGGTTGTTGTCGAGGTACACGGCGGATAAACTGGTGAGGCCGGAGAAGAAAGCCGGAGGGATGGATTCGAAACCGTTGTGCATGAGATTGAGATACTGGATGGAGTTCAGCCCGGAGAGATCGGGCACCGCACCCGTTAGCTGGTTGTAGTCCACCTCCAATGAGGTTAGCGCAGTCAGAGTCGAGAGCTCCGGCGGAAGGAACCCTTGTACGCCTTTGCCGCTGATTTTGATGCGAGTCACCCGATTGCCGGAAGGCTGGCAGACGACTCCGCTCCAGGTACAGGGGTTTTGGCCGGACCACCCAAGGCTGCTGCCCGCCTTGAGACTGTCCTTGAGCTTCATCATGGCGTCGGCATCGGGGCTCTGGGAGCTGGCCAAACGGAGCAGAAAGAAGAGAACGGGAACGACAAGAGTGGAGGAACTACGGATCCCCGGACGGCGGGGCTTTCTCATCTCTGGCTTCTTCTCTTTCTGCCTTGGAGGGTAGGGCGAGAACAGAGGAGTGGGTGAATTTTGTTTGGGTTTTCTGAGAGAGGAGGGGGGTGGGCGCTGTTAGGGTTTAACGGCGGGAGAGATCAATGGAGGATTTTTTGCAGAGGGAATCGGCGGAGATTGTGGTGGGAGAAAGAAAGGAGAAAAGGAAAGGGAAGGGAATTTGGTATGGGAGGGCAGAAATTCCATCTTTAAAAGGAATGTAACGAATAAGAAGGAGAGATTAGAAAAAGGAAGCGTTTGGATTATGATGATCAGAGAGAGAGAGAGAGAGAGAGAGAGAGAGAGAAGATACGGAAATGAAACAGAGAAGCGTTTCTGGTGGGCTTTTCTATGAATTGAATTGACCTTCTATTATTTCCTTTCCTTTCCTTGTACTTGAGTGACTATTGGCTGGGTGGGTGGGTAGAGTCGTCCTCGTTCGTAGTAGTTGCGTTTGGGGTTTGGGCATTTATTTTGAAGGATCACGCTGAAAACAGTTCCCCATGTTAATCATCAGTATTGACATTTCAAGTCTCAACAAATTTCCTATTTATTTCTTTTTTCCCCACTCTATCATGCTTTTTATTATTCTCAATTGACATGGTAATATGGTATAGCAATATAATAGAGAAAACAAGTGCAGTGTCTGTTTGGTTACTTGTAATTTTTAAACAGTGAAATTTGTAATTGCATGCACATAAACAAATGTTACAACTTCTTTGCATAGCTGAATGAATGCGATTACAATTTGCAAACACAATCCTTGCACAAATGCTCTGTGCAAATAGTACTTTTGCATAGCTCAATTTTCAAAAAAAGGAAAAAATGCAATACCAAAAATAATGTGCTTGCAAATACATGTCACATAATATCATACAAAATACGTGACACGCAATTGGCACAAATAATATCATACCAACATATTTGATAGTTTAGAAACAAACTAATTTAATATTATTAAAAGCAATGAACACATAAAATACTTATGCTATGCATTACTCTCCTCGCAAACGAGGCCGAATCCTATGAATAGAAGGGGGTGCTTAGTCAGTTGACTAAACCCCTCCCAGCACTTAGATATGAACACACCAATCGGACGGTTAAAAGTGGGAATGACTTTTTAATTAATTACAGGGGTAGTTTGGGTATAATGGAAAATTACGAAGTATACAAACTGGACTTACAAACAGTACAAACCATACAAACATACGAACAATACAAACTAGAGCGACAAAACATACAAACATATTTACAAACAATACAAAACGTATAACTATACAAACAATACAAACTAGACTGACAAACATTACAAACCATACAAAATGAAAAAAAAACAACCGGGTTGACTTTGGAGTCTCCATCCCTATATAGATGAGTTTCATCCAAAAGTCAATCAGGTTGTTTTTTAGACATAAAAAACATTACAAACATGATTGACAAAAATAACAAAGCTTACAAACATTACAAAAGAAACTGACAAACAGTACAAAGCATACTAACCGTACAAAAATACAAAGTATACAAATCATAGCATAAAAGTATACAAAATAGACAAACAAACATTACAGTTTACAATATGTACAAAATAGTCATATAAACATTACAAACATAATAGATAAAAAAAATAACAAACTAGTATGATAAACGATTTAAACCGAATTGATATAAACATTACAAACTGGACTGATAAACTTTACAAAATAGGTCGAAAATATCACGAATCCAGCACTGTCGTCGAAAAATTCTTCTCTGCCGTGTCTAGTCGTCTGACTCCTCCGCCGTCGCTGGAAAAGCCACCGGAACTCTCTCTCTCTCTCTCTCTGATTAATTGGAACCCTTAGATTTGAATGAGATTGAGTGGCTGAGATTCACTTATTCATGTGACTAAGAGACCCCTAGTCACCTATTCTCAGCCCTTTGCAAACCTATGCGTTAGACTTGTTTACCCATAGGGAGCATCCTCCATTGCATCTCTTTCATAGACAAATTTTCAACTATATTCCATGGCAGAGATTCACTTTCATTAATAAGAAGAATGAAGTTACATCAAGCCCATCTTCGAGCACAGTCACACCCAAAATTCAAAACCAAAACCCCTTTCAGGAAACAAAGCCAGGACTTTCTTTACCATAGAGTAAGATTATGATATGATAGTTGTGAGATGATAAGCAATAAAAACATACAAGACATCAGACTTCAAATGAAGTGTGAAAATCTAGGTGTAGCAAGTGAAGTGCTCATGAGAACAAAGGTAATATAAATATCCATCAACAGAAGGTATAGAAGCAGGGCTCCATACATCCTAATAGAATAAACCAAACGGAAGACTACTTTTTAAACTAGAGTCACCAAAAGGAAGTTTACGACTCTTATTACTTATTAGACATGCACAAAGGGCAATGGGAAAGTAAAGAAGACTTAGACACAGGTACTGACACGAAGATGTGATAAAGACCTTGATGAGGGACGACTGATACATCGATGCCTAGATGCCTTAGAATTTCTAGTGGGACGCGAGTTGCATAAGGCTTAACTCAAGCTCGGCTCGTTAGTAAACGAGTGAAGTTTCGAATGAATTTTTTTCGAGTAGAAATGTCGAGCCGCTCGACTCATTTGCAGCCGTTTTTAGGGTGCTTAATATGAGCAACCAAATTGGGACCCTTCCTTTTAAGTGGGCTATAGATATAAGGATTGGGAACTAAAAACATTTTATTTTCCCTATTTTTCGTAATCGGATCTTATCTTCTTTGTTCTAATTTGAATTTCAATTATTTTGCACTGAAACGAGTTCGTTGTGCTCTACAAAATGAGATCCATTTTCAATATTTTTTGAGAAAATTTTTTTATACCACTCGTTACCAACTCCATATGATATGGTATCTCCTTCGTTTCTAAGTCGTTTTTTAAAAATATTTTCACAAAAAGAACGACTTCATCATGATCTATTGAATCTACAAATTTCTGGGTGAAAAAAATATAAGACAAAAAAAAAATACCACCTTATAGCACCCTGGTATGTGTGTGGTATCTTATGGTACAAAATGTTGAAAGTCGTAAATAATAGTTAGTATATTTCTACTATAATGTATTCAGTCATCCTACAGTCTGGTATGCTCATACTATCATGGTACGCTTTCATATCATATGATATGCTCTTATTTAATACCAATCAATACCATATGGTATAGACTAGTAAAAAATGTCATTGGGTATCATTTTAAAGAGCACAATTAATTTGATTTATCTCTCCAAAAAATTAAAATTCCAACGTAAAATGGGAAAGAAATCATCCTTCAAAAATTAAAAGAGAAAAAAAAAACTCTTCATAAGTGACAGAAAAATACTAATATGACGGATTCTGATTGAGTATACACACCACAAAGTTTATGACTTGATTTGTTCCCGTTTTGTAGTACCACGGGGAGTTTTGTACAATACGGAATACTACTTCGTAACCTTATAATAATTGATATTAATGTTAAAAATTACTTTATTTGCTTCTCAAGGTTTGCTACATGCTAATATTTTTCATGTATTCCTTCTCGGTAGTTTTTGCCCATTATTTACTTCGTCCGTCCATGCAGAAACAGACAGACGGAGGCAAAACAAAGAAAGAAATCATATTGGGTAAGCAAATAGAATTGGGCAGCTTCCTCGAAGCGAATTAACAAATTGCAATTGGCGAGCTGGCAAGCAGAAGCAGATATACGCGTGGTCCCAGTGTGGGTCCGATAGGTCCAAATCTTGGTGGGAATCATTAAACACTTTTGCCTTTTAAAGGAACATTTTACTCTGCGTTATAATAAGTTATTATTTTAGGCGCGCCCAATTGGCAATTGCAGTAGTTACCTAAAGATAATAAATAAATAGTAAATAATCCAGCTGGCAGAGGATTATACCGAGTTTATTATACAATCCACGACCCCACTGATTCCTCAGTCGTGAAAGCTGAAAGGTTAGGGTGGTAGTAGTTTTTTTTAGCATTAGCTAATGGGTTATAAGTATAATATGCTCTTTTATTATATTGTTTTATCAAATATGTCTATCTACTATGTTTTACATCAAACATGTCATGTACTTTAGGAAAATGATCAAACATGCCTTTCTGTTAAAATTTTCATCAAAAATTCATTAATCACGACCGAACTTTGGTTTGGACAACACAAATGTCTAAAATATCTCTAATAATTTCACTTTAGAATTTTCTCTCTCTTTGTATAGCCAATAATTCTAACAATTTCACTTTGACTGGACCTAGAGAACTAAAATAGGGGACAAAACTGACATTTTTCCTCCCATTTGCCGATGTCAGATCGTCTAAATCTCGGTTCAATCATGATTGACAATTTTTTGGGGAAAATTTTAACAGAAGGGCATGTTGGATAATTTTTCCTAACTATAGGGGCATGTTTGATGTAAAAAAATAGTAAAGGGGTATGTTTGATAAAACGACATAGTAGAGGGGCATATTATACCTATAACCCTTTAGCCAATCGAACTATTTCGTTTGGTTGACTGACTCGTTCTAACTACAACATCCCAATAGCCGGCCAAGTATCACCGGCGACTAGGTGTAGCATAGGGCAAGTAAGCAATAAGAATTTATCGTACCACGGAGATCTAGGCTTACCCTACTTTAGGTTTAGGGTTCGTTATCTAGCCAACCTAGGATAGTGATTAATAAAACCAAACTAACTAACCTAGACTAACCACTAACCTAGCTATTACAAGGTTTGGAGATCTCTTGGGTTAAATCCCCCTATTTCTAACATTTGGATCGATGTTGAGTACTATTCTAACTCGATCGATTCACTATCCTACGGTTATGAGATTGACTCACTCGGGACGGACCCGGAACGACGAAGTGATGGATGGGTAAGAGCACTATTCAACCTAGAGTTTCATATATTGCTAGGAGACCAATGGAATCAACTCCCTCACAGATTTCCCGGATAATATACGATTGGAGTGACCCGAAGACACCAATAGGGGGGCTCTAAGGGGATTTTCTCCCTCCTAGGTCAAAGCTCAATTGACAAGTCAAGGGATCCAAACTCATTCAATCCTTACCAAACATCGATCAAATAGATAAATTCATCAATCATAGATAGAATTTGTCACATACATCAACAATGAAACAAAATCTAGACTTAGGGTTCTTAAACCAAAGAGAAGGGATGAGTTTCTAGAGAGAGAAGAGAGAGATTACAAATTGGAGTCCAAGATCTTCTTCTTCTTCTAGGCTTGATTCCTTGCTTCCAAGCTTGATCAATGCATTCAATTAAGCTCCAAGATCACTCAATAACTCATACTCTCTCTAGAACTCCCTGTCGCAACCGTCCCTCTAGAGTCGGGTCGCGTTCTCTTTTGGAATCGCCATCAATCTTACTTGGAGTGGATTGAACACTCATTGGTCGGCTCTAACCTTAGGGTCAAAACTGAGACTTAGTCTGCGAATGGGAGATATGGGTTCGAGAGTACAATTACGTGTGGGGAAGGTAAGCAACACCTCCACAACACTCTAAATCGGTACTACCTAAGTTGATAAGTGTATATTAGTTGGGTGTATTTTTCAATTATGTATTTTTTGGATCCCACTAAAACATTAAAATTATGTTGTATTAGTTTATGATTTTATTATATGCCCATTGGCGTTCGTTTAAAGATAAAAAATTAGTTAGTTGGACTCGAACCTTATCGCTTGTCTACGTACCCGTAATACAGGATCAAAGTCCACGTAGTTCGTTTAAAACTTTGATAATTTTAAATGTAAAGTTTACCACGTTTCGTTGTCCGTGGTATTCGTAATATGCATTTTTTGAGAAAATGTAAAAACGATACTAATTATTACGATCGATTTATGAACAACTACTATTTATTTGATGCTCTTCAAATTCCAGATATCGTCAATATCCCAAACCACACCACCACCACCAGTTTCATCCTCCGCATCAGCAGCAACTACTATTTATTTTATGAACAACTACTATTTATTTGGATTATGATGATCAGAGAGAGAGAGAGAGAGAGAGAGAGAGAGAGAGAGAGAGAGAGAGAGAGAGAGAGAGAGAAGATACGGAAATGAAACAGAGAAGCGTTTCTGGTGGGCTTTTCTATGAATTGAATTGACCTTCTATTATTTCCTTTCCTTTCCTTGTACTTGAGTGACTATTGGCTGGGTGGGTGGGTAGAGTCGTCCTCGTTCGTAGTAGTTGCGTTTGGGGTTTGGGCATTTATTTTGAAGGATCACGCTGAAAACAGTTCCCCATGTTAATCATCAGTATTGACATTTCAAGTCTCAACAAATTTCCTATTTATTTCTTTTTTCCCCACTCTATCATGCTTTTTATTCTCAATCTAAATTATACATTCATCTTCAATAGAATAAAAATATGCGATATAGAAAAAAATTTAGAAATGTAGTTCTTTAGCTTTTAACCATGAATCCTTAGCTAAGTAACAATTTAAGCGATTGAAGTAGGAGACTAGGAGTACATGGACCGCCTCAGGTTGACAATTAAAACACTTGCCTACTTTATAGAGTTTTTTTTTTTTTTTCCAAGTAATGCCATAGTACAATAGTTAAATCTTCTACCTAAAACCCCAAAAAGACAATTAATGAAGCCACCCTACAAAATCGAAGGACGCTATCTCTACAGGGGACAGCAGCAGGGCTTGTCTTGCCACTCTATGGGCAGCCCAGTTGACAGTCCTCGGGACCGAACAAAAGCGAATACAAGAAGAACAAGAGCTCAATAACTGGAAACAATCACGAAGCAAAGGCCCGCCCACCGAGTCTTCACAGCATCTACCATCAAGTTGCCGGATAACTACTTCAGAATCACCTTCAATGATGGCCAGAGGAAGACTGCGAGAGTGAACTAAAGAGATGGCGTCTCTGGCGGCCATCAGTTCTGCAAGATAGGGATCCGAGACTCCTGGATGGTGGAATCCCAAGGCCAAAAAAACTTGCCCCTCTGATCCTCGAACGACGAGACCTGATGAGCAACCCGGAACACGAACAGCGGCATCGAAATTGATCTTGATAAAACCGTCGGGAGGACCAAGCCAACTGGAGATGCGAGAGGGCTGAGGGCGGGGAGACAAGATCTGGGGGAGGGAAGACACTGAAGCATATTCTTGGACTTGGAAGAAAAATTGGCGGGCAAGCGAGGTGGCTAGTGGTTGAGTAAATTCAAAGACCACTTTATTTCTAGATTTCCAAATTCTCCAAAGAAGGCAAATGCAGGGGAGATAGTGGATTTGGAAGTTTTCCGTTTTCATAACATGTCGCCACCAGATACCGAAGTTTTTGATTGGGGCGGAGAGAAGTAAATTGTTTAATCCCACCATATTCCAGAGGTGAAGAGCAGGAGGACAATGGAAAAAAAGGTGTTCAATAGTCTCTTGACTATCCCAACAAACCGGACAACGAACTTGACAGTTAATTCCTCGGGACCTAAGAGCCGTCGTAGTTGGCAAAATAACTTTCAGACATTGCCATATAAAGAACTTAAGCTTTGGTGGAACATCAAGAGCCCACATTCCTTTCCAAATAGGAGGGTCATACTTTATAGAGTTTGCATTTGGGTTTTAGTCGGAATTTAATTGTGTAGTTAGGAGCTAGTAAAAAATCAATAACTTCATAAATTTTTTGAGTTTATTTTTATTTTTTAATTATTTTATTTTAATAAAAATGATTAAAGTTGTTTTTATCAGCCGACAGACCTACCCAACAAATATGAGTTTGCTACTGTGACAATCAATATGATAGCATCATTTAAAAATAAAATGGATATCATTATCTAGATTATAGTTAATGCATTCTTTTTTATATAATATTTTTTCAATTGATATTTGAAACAAAAGAGATAGGAATTGATTAAGAAAAGATGGATTTATAAGAATTCTGAATCAGTATGTGAACTTGGGCTTCTTATTTAATCCTCTCAGTTTAGGGATATTTAAACTTTTGTAGAAAAAAATTGTATTTTATTCTTTTCCATATTCTATTTCTAAGGCGAGTAGGCTACAAAACTTCTATCAACAAAATCCCTACAAAACCCCATCATCCATCGTCCATCCCTTCTCTTCCAATAATGGTCCAGAATAATTTCCAACAAAAAAAAAATAGGGGTGGATTGATAATTCCGCTAACCCTGGGTTTTTATCCTGACAACCGTGACATGAATTCAGAAGAGAGCGAAGGTACTTTTCCTAATCCTTATTTTTCTTAATCATATCCTACAAAAATTCTTTTAACTCCGAATTTTTATTTATTTATTTTTTATAGAAATAATGCATTGATTATGATCTATACATTGATGGCCATTATGTCATATTTTGAGCAAAGAAAAATGAACTCTTCAAATACGTATCAGTTGTAGTATTATCACTATCATATGAATATATCATGATAGTGATATGAACTTATCTGATCTGATATTGAGATGAATGGTATTGAACTGATACAATATTGATATGAATGAAATGTTGATAGATGATATTGATATGAAATTATATGAATGATAGATAGAATTGTTACGATCTTAATATGAATGACATGAACTTGATATGAACTCATTTGATATGACATGACCTAAATATTTTTTGCTAAAAAATATCAAAATGGATAGAATCTTGTAGATCATAAAAAATCTTATTTTTCTACGTAGATTTTTTTTTTCAAATTCGACATAAAATGAATATGATATGGTATGTTGATTTTCGTAGCAGGTTTGAAAAGTGTATAGAAATCTGCGCCACTTCGTCCAAATATTCGGACAACATGCAACAAATTTGGTCCGACCACATTTTTCCCTTCCTAACCTTCTATAAAATTGACCATTAAATCTTCTTTTCCCAATTACAACCATCTACAAAACACTATAAAGCAATGTCAATATACAGCCTTTGCCACGTCAGCCTATGCTGTAATAGCCGCACAGTTCGGAGGGCTATTATTGTCTATTCAAAAACTCTCTCTTTCTTGCAGTCTATCTTTCCTGCGACCATTTCTCTCCTCTCTTCCCAATCTGAATCGGAAATCAACACTCCCACCGTCATTTTAACCACACTAAAACCCTTAAGTACCTTCCGTCACCCATTGTTACCCTCACTGTACTTCTCCTATCATTATTGTGTTGCTGTTTCCTCCGTCTTGCAACTCATCGGGAAAAGTCCCCACTGCCGAGCTCTTGCAGTCTGTCTCTCGGCAGTCGGCGGAATCTGTCTTTGCCGCCGTCTTCGTACTATCTCATCCTAGAAGAAAGTCCTCCATCTTGATCCCCTGGGAAAATATCCCCACTCCCCTCGATCTCTCTTCGTTTGTCTCCCGGCCCTAATTTCTTTCTCGTCGTCCATCTACGAGCCCTCCCAGAAGAAAAGCCCTCCTCTTCGATCCCCCGGGAAAAATCCCCACTCTTCTCGCTCTCTCTCCGTCTGTCTCCCGATGCAATTTGTCTTTCTCGCCGTCCCTATACTAACCCCTCCCAGAAGAAAAGCCCTCAGCCTCGCGCATTACAATCGAGTGGCCGAGCAAATTCTCCGCGCGGGTACTTTGACCATTCTGCTTTGTAAGCTAACTTCGGTAGTTAGTTTTTTTTATGTTTACTTTTATAGAGCATGTGTGCGATGTCCCCTCTACCTTTTCTTTTCGAATGGGCAAGCTATGCTACTGCTAACTTAATCAGTTTGAATCGTTTCAGTCGGACTGTGACCTACGGGATAAGGCGTAATTTCTACATTGGTTTTCGGCCGGGTGTGGAACGATTGCAGCAATGTCGCCGAAACATTGCGGAGACACTTCTTCTGCCCCAAACACTGGTCCAACTAATTATAACTTTGCTGCAACGCCATGTAATATTCTCATTTTGTTCTTAGTATGATGTTTTTCTAAGATTGAACGTGATACATTGACAAGAAACAGAAACTTATTTGTTTGGTTTGTTCCATTGTGTTAAGGGAAAGGACGGACAATTTGTGTCTCCTTGAAGGTTTGACACTAGCTGAAGTAGATGCTGAGAGCGCCTTTAGGGTGGTAAGTTAAATTGAATTTTGTCTCTAATTAATTTCAAATTGCAGTTTTTCTTAGCTATGTTGCATCTTTTTTATAGTCATCAAGTTGAAAGCTCAGCTCACTTGCGTTGATTGCCATATTGCAACTTTAGCTAGGAGAGGAAGGAAGTTCCTTTGGTGGTACGAAGGATGCATTGAGTGCCTGTTATTTCAGTCCCAAGTATGTCACTCTTCGCCTTTTGCTTATCTTTGGATGTTATGCAGTTTAGTATCATGAGTTTTAATTTTTGTGAGCACCAAAAGCATGATTGGGAGGGTTAGGACGGAAGGCCTCATTTGATTGGTGTATGGAATTGTATAACATATCCATTTATGTGTGTATGCTTTAACATTTAGCTGCTTCATGGTAATATAGGTTTGCATATGTTATTTTAAATGGTTGGTTTTCTGCACTTACTATGAATTTGCTCAAATTTTATTTGGTGGAATTTGTTCTTTATTGTCTATTGGGTTTTCATTCTTAATAAGTGATATATATAACCAGCGGCGGATCCAGGATTCTGTAGAGCACTGGACCGTATTTGAATAGACAATTACGTATGGTCAATGAATTTTGCGCAAATTTGAGAGTATATAATATGGTTCCTCATTCTTAAAAGAATGCATCTCATTTTCTTCGACAACTTTGTCTATAATTAGAACTCTTCAAATAAGTTTGTCATTTATCTTCAAATCTGCATAATCAAATAACACAGTAATTGTATATATTCTCAAGTTTCTAATTCACTTCCCAATTCTAATGGTTCATTCCTTGTCATCTCTTATTCTCAAAATTAGGTCACTTGTCCATAGCATTTCTCCAAATAAACCACCGGTACTTCTCGATTTCTATTTACAAACTCCCTATATTCTAAAGGCTCCGTTCCATTCCACTCGGCACATTTACTACCAACGCACTACTAGACTCATGCACTAATAGCCCACGTAACCCCTACTAATCCTAATTTACCTATCACAAACCCCTATCCATGAAACATTTTTAAACAAATAAAGAAGCTAATACTAGCAATAATCCCCCTGATCCAAACCACATATGCATCAAACATTACAGTTTTGGTGAAGAACTGTAACTCACGGTTCCATAGTTTTACTTGTAAGGCACAAGCAGGAGCACAAAATTGATATAAAACCCCTTTTATTTTTTATTGATTGATTCCCAAGACTAACGCGGCAAATACATTTATATAATATGTAACCCTGCCTGTTAGCCTAACTATAGCTGAACCCTTCACTTCTCCCTGGCTAACTCGGCAACCTAGCACTACTAATCTTCTAATTAAGCCCATGCACTAATAATCCAAAACCCACATACATAAGCCCAACAATTACCCATTATCCACTTTACAGCACAACTAACTTAGCTTGGAGTCCAAAGCTCCATCATTTGGCGATTGGGAGGCGGACGAGAGGGCTGGGCCAACATGATTAGCAGTGGGCCAAAAGATGTGGAGGGGGCTCAATATAACCTCTGGATCCAAAGGAGGGTCGGGCCCTGGCCCAGGTTGGCCCAGCCCTTGATCCGCCACTGTATATAACAGAAATGATGACTTGGATCATGCTAAGTTATTGTAGCTGAAACTAAGTAACTTGCAACCAACTAAATGAAACTAAGTTAATAACTTTCTGCAATGCAAATTTTGGAAGAAGCAAACCATATTTCTTTATGTAAATTGTCAGGTATTTGAGCAAGTAGCAGGGGAGGAAGGGTATAACCATAAAGCTTCATTTGCATTGTGTATACGGTAGGTTAAAGCTTAAGTTTTGTTTCTAGGCAAAAAGATATGTGGCCTGTAAATGTCTTTTGTTGAACGTTGAACATATAGTAGTTTATATTATGAGAGCTGTAGCTTTAATGAAAAATTTAAATTGCTATCCATTAATAAAGAACTAACTTTTTCTTATTTGTTGCTGGTCTATAAACGTATACCATTTCCTCTTATTTGTTTCTGGTCTTGGTATTCAATTTAAGAAATATGTTCATGTTAAACTTATCGAGTTCAACTTCTTGAACCTTCAAGCTGATTATTTTGTGGTTACCGTTGATCATGATCCACTTCAGGTCGATGATAAACACTTCACATGCGCCCTAATTTTATCTATAAGGTGCCATATTAATTTCGTTGTTAACAGTAGTATTATTTCTCTATTTTGATTGCAGCAAGTAACCGAGACACCAATTCCTGAGGACATTTGAGGGACAACCTTATCTGGACTGAAAAGAGAACATGTTGACTATGACACCCCGGGGAGGAATAGTATTGGTGGCTTTGTGTAGTTAACAACCACAATTTTATGCTTCTAATTAGTGTTTTGTTTTCATCTTTGAGATATTTATTATTTTGTTTTCATTCAGGTTGACATTGCAACTCTGTTTCTAGGTTTGCCCCGTATGGATTATTTCCTTTATTAACTTCCAATTGTGGAATGCAGTGGTGTTCTTTGACAACACTACTTTCCCATATGATGGATAGTTTTTCCATTTTTGAATTGACATTTTTTTTTCAAGTTTGGTTCAGCATTGCCAAATATGTCTTCAGTTTACTCACTCTGCTATCAATGAAAATCTCCCAAGAAGTTTCGCTGCACTTTTTTGACAGATTGCTGGTGTTTTTCTTCTTTCTACCCTATTGATGTGTCGCTCTTTGCATATAAATTCGATGGATTGGACTTTTACATAATAATAATAATATTATATATTACATGATTGTTTTTTTTATTCTAAATTTTTTGGTTCATGACTGGCAAGGATTGCTATATTTTCTAGATAATCTAATTGTTGCTGTTATGAATGCAAAACTACTTTTAATGCTAGATAATCTAATTGTTGTTGTTACGAAAGCAAACCTACTTTCAGTATTTGCTGCATTTTCTAGATAATTTTATTGTTGGTGTTTGCTATCTTTCTTGCCTTTCCATGCGTTGGTTATTTGCTTATCAATTTCGAGGATTGAATTTTGGTATAATTCAATCATCTACATAAATCCTTATATTGCTTATCCAATCCTGCTCTTGGCTACCATCATTAGATGCCTGACTATATCGGGCTGAAGAGACTCCAAACCATCACGTCTCCATTACACGTTAATCTAATTGTACTCATAAACACACCAAGCAAGCAGTAAACTATTGTATTATGAGCTGCCAAAACTCAGCAACAAACTGCTAGGGAAAACTCAAATAAACTTCCCCTAGATCAAGTATCTCAGGTGCATCCCTGTAATCCATTATCCGACAAACTATCTCATTATTTTTAAGCACAAGAAGCATGCATTCCACCTTGATCAGTCGCCTATATTAAACCAATCAATGCCCCTGGAGTCCACACCTCCCCTTCCAAATCCAATTTGCAAGGGACAAATTATTTGACAATTGAGTGGACTTTCCCACAAGAGCAAGTTCGATGGTAAGAACTTGGGATTAGGAATCTGTTTACTGAAGTGCACAACAATTCCATCACTACCCATGAGTCTTCTAAGTTTGAGTTAGGATAAATCACAAAAAAGGACAAGTTCTCTAAACCCTTATAACTCTTCCAATATCTAAATGTATTCTTCTTCAAGGCATTCTGGCTAGCACTATTGGGTCGCTTGAAAAACATATTCCCATATGGGAACAATTCATTTTCTTATTCAACCCCTACCTCCACCAACTTGCCACAAGACTCTTGCAAAAACCAATGGATCTAGCTGCGATAATCTATATCAAACAACTGAACACATTTTGTCTTCACGCAAACTTTCTATTCTTCTATTCTACTACCACTGCATCAGTATTGTCAGCTCAATTTTGTTCCGTTAGCCGCCTTAGTAGATAAACACTACTGAAATGGATGCTCTTATAAGAGGTGATAGTGCTCTTATATTGATGCTATTTGAGTTTGTTTTTCCATGAAATTGAATCTCATAAGCTAAACATTTAGTTAAGCAGAATCATTAGTTACATATTATGATACTTAATCATTCCTCTATTCTTCAAATATAATAAAACAAAACTTACGGACAAGTTTTGTACGACGCCGGCCAACGGGCCGGGCCCAATGCTAGTTACATATATAATTTTGTAGTAATACAAATGGTGAGATTTTGTACTACCGAATACCACTTCATCACTTTATTATAATCTATAATAATGTTATAAATTACTTTATTTGCTTCTTAAGGTTTTTTTCATGAGTGCGTATATGCTAATATTTTCTTGTATTCCTTCTCCATAGTTTTTGCCCATCATTTACTTCATCGATGCAGAAACAGACAGATGGAGGCAAACGAAGAAAGTAATCATATTGGTTAAGCAATAGTATTGGGCAGCTTCTTTGGTAAAAACAAAAACAAAAAAGTATTGGGCAGCTTCTTTGGTAAAAACAAAAACAAAAAAGTATTGGGCAGCTTTCTTAACAAATTGCAATTTCGCGAGCTGACAAGAAGCACATATCTGAATCGCTATTCGTCGCCCTAAATTTTTAAAATTTACGCGCTAAACCATACTGAATTGACGTTTATACCCCTAACCCCTAACGCCAATTTCCACAATCTGTGCATGTTCTGTCGCCCCGCCACCGCTCGATTGCTGGCCTCTGATATCGTTCCCAATACCCGTCGCGGCTCCCATTCCCCGAACCCACTATATATCGTTCTATCTCCCCACCGCTTACCTCCCTCTCAATTTCCAAGTTAATTATTCTTCTTCCCGAATCCATTTCCCTTTCCCTATCTCCCGTCAATTTCCAGGTTAATTTATTCTTCTTCCCAAAAGAAGGAAGCAAAGGCCAAGAAAACCCATTTCCCGTTCCCACTGCCCGTCGCCTGTTGCTGCCAACAAAAATATTTGTTGAACTTCCCAATCATCTTTTTATGTATTACGATTCCTACGAGTTCTTATTTGTTTAAGATTATTAGTGTAGGGATCGTAATGTATTTATCCATAACTCTCGGTGCTTGTTGTGAGAGTATGGCTCGTGTATTTAAGGTGGAAGGCCGCAGCCGAAACCACCATCATCATCATCAGTCAATCAATAAAAACCCTAAGAGCTCCTTCTCTTCGTGGACTAGTCCCGTTCATACTGAACGGGGAAACCACGTAAAATCCTTGTCTCGCGTTCATCTTTTCTATCGATTTTTACATGGTATCAGAGCTGTGATTGATCCACAGCAGACCTTCAGTAATGGCTAGCGGAACGGACGACGTTCTCAACAGCTCGTCCAAGTCGAAGGATAGCTGCGACACAAGTGGGATGCAGCCAAAACCTTCTCCCTTCTTCATCCATCTATCAGATAGTCCTAGCCAATTATTTGTTGGCGATCTCCTCACTGAATCAAACTATGGCGAGTGGTTGGGAGATATAACAGACTCCCTCATCGCCAAAAAGAAACTCGGCTTTGTCGATGGGTCAATCTCGGCGCCGACAGATGGTGGTGCGGAGTATGACGCTTGGAAGCAAGTCGATGCCATGGTCAAGGGGTGGCTCAAGACAGCCATGTCCAAGGACGTACGAAGCAGCGTCCGATTCACCAAGACGGAGCGTGAAATATGGCTGGATATACAAACTAGGTTCGACCATGGCAGTGCTTCTCGGATGTATGAGTTGCGACGAACTATCAATCTTTTACAGCAAGAGAAGACGTCTGTTGCAACCTTCTACACAAAGCTTCGCGGATATTGGGACGAGATCAGTTCCCTTGCTCCATCCTTGGAATGCACTTGCGGAGGATGTACTTGCGATGTCAAGCAGCGGCAACGCGCGTCCAAGGAGAGCGAACGGTTGTTTGATTTTCTCATGAGCTTAGACGATCCTTTCAACACCGTCAAGACCCAGATACTTGCCATGAAGCCGATACCCAGCTTGGCAGAGGCTTATAATCTCGTTATGAATGACGAAAAACAGCACCATATCTCAAACAATCGGCGACCTCGAGCTGATGCCGCCGTGTTTCAGGCTCACGGCGAGAAAAAGACTGATCGAGCTCCTAGGCAGGGGAGCGTGATGCGGATGGCCGCCCATACTGCACACATTGTCAAAAATCTGGGCACTTTCGAGAGACGTGCTACAAACTGAACGGTTTTCCTCCTCGCAATTCTGGAACAGGTGAACAGGTGCAGCGGCACAAACCAGACCGCTCAGACTCTCAGCAGCGCTCAACTCCTCAGGCAGCAACGGTGGATACCGAGCAAAGCCCTATACCGGGCTTGACAGCTGCCCAATTCTCCCAACTCAAGTCCCTTCTCGGATCAGAGTCTCTATTGGCAACTGTGTCCAATTCTGATCCTGTCTCCAACATGGCAGGTACGAATCTTCATTCTCGTTCAGCTTGGGTTATCGATTCCGGATGCAATGAGCATATCGGGAATAATCACTCTTTGTTACTTGATGAGCTGGAGAAAACCCCAACTTTAAAGGTTCGAATACCAAATGGTACATGTGTTCCTGTACATCATATTGGATCGGCAAAATTGTCTAATGATCTCATGCTTTGACGGGTTTTGCACGTCCTGGAATTTCAGTGCAATTTGCTCTCCGTTAGTCGTCTCACAGTCGATCTGACGGTAGCGTTAATTTTCTTGCGTGATTTCTGTGTTATTCAGGACTTACCCTCCATGAAGCTGATTGGGATGGGTAAGCACGTCGATGGGTTGTACTATCTGCAGCTGTTTGACGGGAAGCATCCGGTGGCACATTCTGTTAGGCAAGCTGTGGACAGTTCGGCAGTGTTGCATGCCCGTCTGGGGCACCCTTCGGCGGCCAAATTATCTATCTTACAGCATTTTATTTCGAGTACTATTGTTCATCAGAAGGATGTTTGTCATTCTTGCATTCGGGCTAAACAGACTCGTGATCCTTTTTCTTCTAGCTCTATTACTACTTCGACATGTTTTGAGCTGATCCATGTTGACATTTGGGGAGGATATCAGATACCTTCTTTTTTTGGTGCACGTTATTTCTTAACGATTGTCGATGATTACAGTCGTGCATTTTGGATTTTCTTGTTGCAGTTTAAATCAGAAGTGGCTCGCTATCTGCTTTACTTTTGCAACATGGTCAAAACGCAGTATCACAAACAGGTTCGGCGAATTCAGGCTGATAACGGCCCCGAGTTTGCAACAATTGAGTTGCGAAATTTCTACGAGCAGACTGGCATTGTTCTTCAAACCTCTTGTACTGATACTCCCCAACAGAATGGAGTAGTGGAGCGCAAACATCGTCATCTCCTCGACACTGCACGAGCACTTCGGTTTCATGCGAATTTGCCTCTTGATTTCTGGGGTGAATGCATTCTCACGGCTGCGTATCTACTCAACCGGTTACCTCTCACTCCTATCGGAAACAAATCCCCTTTCCAGGTTATGTTCGGCAAGGCTCCAGTCTACACTCATCTACGAAGTTTCGGTTGCCTCGTGTACTCTCGTGATAATCATCAGGGCTTGGACAAATTTGCACCGCGGGGGAGAGCAGGAATTTTCGTTGGTTATCCAGTAATCAACGTGGATACCGTATATTTGACTTGGAACACAGGCGTATCTACACTTCACGTGATGTCAAGTTCATGGAGAACATTTTCCCCTATCATTTTTCGGTCGCACCCACTGCCGAGAACATGCATACGTCAACTTCCTCGCTTCCTCGTGTTCCAGTTTCCATAAGTTGTGATGATAACAACACCGAAGCCAAAATAGAGAGACCTGCCCCGTCACTCCCACAATCGGTTTCAACTTCAGAAACTTCTCCTCTGGTCACTTCTCCACAGGAATCCCCATGCAGTGGTGCGGATACTTAATGCGCCACACCTCCTACTAGCATGGATAGCTCTCCATTGCATTCTCCACAGTCTACTTCTACTGCCACTGGCACATCTTCTCCCTCGCAGTCCACTACTGTATCATCAACCGAGACTTCGCCTGGCCCTAGTCCAATACCAGCAAGTGCAGCCCCAGCTCCGCGACGCAGCGATCGCGTCAAGCAAATCTCCAAACGCCTTGCTGGTTATGACGTCGATCTCCCCAGCGCAGCTCATCAAGTCGAGGTTGGCTATCCTTTGGAGGATTATTTCACTTATTAGCATCTATCACAGACGCATCATGCATTCGTTGCGACCGTTTCCTTGGTTGATGAGCCGAGTTTTTATCATGAAGCAGCTCGGTATGCCCATTGGCGAGCTGCTATGCGCACAGAGATTCTCGCTCTTGAGTCTAATGGCACGTGGGTTTTGTGTCATCTTCCACCGGGAAAGCGTGCTATCGCTTGCAGATGGGTTTTCAAGGTTAAGTTCCTCACCGATGGTACAATTGAACGTTATAAGGCTCGACTCGTGGCTAAGGGCTTTACTCAAGTGGAGGGTATCGATTACCATGATACTTTTGCTCATGTTGCTAAGCTAGTCATAGTACGCTGTCTGTTAGCTGTGGCGGCCCATCGGGGTTGGATTATTCAGCAGTTGGACGCTAATAATGCTTTTCTGCATGGTGATCTCGAGGAGGAGGTTTATATAAAGATTCCACCTGGTTTCTCTCAACCTGGTGACACACGGGTTTGTCGTCTGTGCAAATCCATCTATGGTCTTCGTCAAGCCTCGCGTAACTGGTACCAGAAGTTCATGCAGGCTCTCTTAGCTCTGGGTTTCACCCAAAGTAAGGCGGATCATTCGCTCTTCACTTATCGTCGGGGCACTATCTTTGTCGCTGCTCTCATCTATGTTGACGATGTTATCCTCGCAGGCAACGATATGGCCTTTATTCAAAAGGTCAAGACTCATCTTCATGATCGCTTTACTATCAAGGACTTGGGTGATTCGAAATACTCTCTTGGCATCGAAGTAGCAAGATCTCCCAAGGGTCTCGTGTTGAATCAACGTAAGTATGTGTTGGATATATTGTCTGAAGCAGGCGTCACTGCCTGTTGTCTCAGTTCCACTCCCATCGAGCAACAACATCATCTCGGTCGTGATCCTGCTTCGGATCCTGCTGCTTTTTGTCGTCTGGTTGGTCGTTTACTCTACCTTACTGTTACTCGACCTGATATCACCTACGTCGTGAATATGCTCAGTCAAGCAGTGCATGCCCCTACTCAGGCTCACGAGGCTGCAGCTGCTCGTGTGCTTTGCTATCTCAAGTCGACCCCTGCTCATGGTCTCTTCCTTCAGCTATGGGTGAACTCTCTCTCACTGCCTATTGCGATGCTGATTGGGTAGGTTGTCCCATCACTCGATGTTCAACCACAGGATATTTCATAACTTTGGGTTCTTCTCCCATCTCTTGGCGCACGAAGAAGCAATCTGTTGTGACTCGTTCTTCAGCTGAAGCAGAATATCGAGCTATGGCGAACACCGTTATCGAAGTTCTCTGTCTCCGCTGGCTTCTTCGTGATCTGGGTGTCTCTCTCTCTGGCCCTACGCCTCTTTACTGTGACAATCAGGCTGCACTTCACATAGCTGCTAATCCAGTTTTCCATGAACGCACCAAACACGTCGAGATGGATTGTCATTTTGTTCGTGAGCGCGTTCAGTCCCGCGATATCACTCCTCTCAAGATTGCCACAGTTGATCAGCCTACAGATCTCTTGAACAAGGGTTTGAGCTCCGACCAGTTCCAGCATTTATTGGTCAAGTTCGGACTTCTTGATATTCATTCCTTCGCTTGAGGGGGAGTAATACGATTCCTACGAGTTCTTATTTGTTTAAGATTATTAGTGTAGGGATTGTAATGTATTTAGCCATAACTCTCGGTGCTTGTTGTGAGAGTATGGATCGTGTATTTAAGGTGGAAGGCAGCAGCCGAAACCACCATCATCATCGTCAGTCAATCAATAAAAACCCTAAGAGCTCCTACTCTTCCTGGACTAGTCCCGTTCATAACGAATGTGGAAACCACGTAAAATCCTTGTCTCGCGTTCATCTTTTCTATCGATTTTTACATTCTGGGCTAAGGATACAGACGCTAGAAACGGGTTGAGTTCACGTGCGAGAGATGGAAGGAACCGGTATTCTACCCGTCTGGACTGTTCGGCCCGACCTCTCTTCCCATCGTTGGGATTCATTGAACGTGATCGACGGTTAGAATGGAGAAGGAGGAAGGGAATGGATCAAAATCTAATGAGGGTAGGAGTGTAACTTTACTATAGTTTAGGGCGACAAATTCAAATATCTAGGACGACGAATAGCAACTCCCGCAGATATACGCGTGGTCCCAGTGTGGGTCGATAGGTCCTAATCTTGGTGGGATCGGGTTAATTGCATAGTTGGTCACTGAGATTACGACACTCGAAATATTTAAATCCATTCGTGGTACTTCAGTTTACTGAAACCATTCACATTTGGTCACTCTCCGTCCAACTCCGTTAACTTTTGCATATGTGGCAGTCAACTCTAAAAGTTGCCCGTTAAATGTGTGACGTGGCAATTAAAAAATAATTTTTTAAAATTTTCACCTCATTTCTAACTATTAAAAATATAAAAATAAGATTATAAATTAGTAAAATTAAGAACGAACGGAGAATTCTTTCTACTGTTCTCCGCCGCCGCATTCTTGACCACAAACGGCGGTGGTTTCTTGCTAGGATGCTGGTCTTCGGAACGGCAAAGGAGAAGAACAAGGCGGCGTACGAGGTCCGATTGCTTTCCAAATCCAACATCTTCAACAGAGGGTGTTTGATTCAAGCAGGGGTAATTCTCCCCCCTGCTAAACCTCTTGAATTCCTTTGCATCGGGGAAGAAGAAGACGACCGCTCAAGAGAACGCGACTGCAGCCCTATTGAAGCTCTCGAAGCACGCCGGCGGGAAGAGGGCACTCATCGAGAACGATGGAATTCGATCAATTGTAGCCATATTGAAAAACGGATTCAGATCGGAGTAAAAGCAAATCGCGGCAGCGACAATTTTCTACCTGTCGTCGATGAAAGGATACAGAAAGTTGGTCGGGGAAATTACGGAAGCAATCTCAGGGCTGATTTTGCTTATCAGGAAAGGAAACCCCTACGGGAAGAAGAACGTTGTGGTGGCGCTCTTCGGCCTTCTAATGTACCAGGGGAACAACCGGAGAGTGCTTAGAACGGCGTCGTTCCGATTCTAATCGAAGTCATTTCGGTACCGACAAGGAAGAGCTGGTGGCAGATTCGATAGCGGTGCTTGCTTCCCTGGCGGAGACGGTGGAAGGGACGATTGAGATCATGAGATATTTTGGGTTGGCTGTGGCTATTAAGGTCTACAATCGATGCGGTTCGTGCGTGGCGAGAAAGAGCACTACATATCAATCTTGTGGTCTCTGTGCAAGAATGGCGGAGCGGAAGTGGTGGAGGTGCTGGCGAGGGAGCAATCGGTGATGGGTTCGTTGTATTCGGCGGTGACGAAAAGGAGTCCCCAATACAAATCGCCGCCCTTGATTAGCGATGGATAATTGGATATGCATGAGGATAATCTCCACATAGACACACGTAAGATATTGGATAAAGGTTTTGTGTGAATGCTAGTTTGCCTTTTTTTCCATTTCTGGGAAGTATCCACCAATTATGCATCGATACACATTCTGAATTTTAATAATTTATAATTTTATTTTTATATTTTTAATAGTTAGAAATGAGGTGGAAATTAATTACCAAAAAAAAGAGGTGGAAATTTTAAAAAATTAAATTTTATTTATTTATTAATTGTCACGTCACACATTTAACGGTCAACTTTTAGAGTTGACTGCCACGTAAGCAAAAGTTGACGGAGTTGGACGGAGAGTGACCAAATATGAACGGTTTCAGTAAACTGAATTACCACCAATAAATTTAAATATTTCGAGTGACCAAATTTGAACTTTTTTTTTGTATTCTCAGTGACGAACCATGCAATTAATCCTGGTGGGATCATTAAAAACTTTTGCCTTTTAAAGAACATTTTACTCTGCGTTATGATAAGTTATTATTTTTGGCGCGCCTAATTGGCAATTGCAATTGTTAGATAAAGATAATAAATAAATGGTAAACAAGGCTTTAAGTTCTTCCTTAAAAAAGAGACCTTAAGGACCTGAACTTAGGCCTGTTGGCGTGACTGACATGATCGATGTTGTTGCCGATTACTTATGTTTAGCCCAGGAACGGGGAGTTTTCCACGGGTAGCAGAGGGATACGAAGTGAACTTGTATCCAATTTTAGAAGGGGAAACTACATTTATTCAAACAATTTACTTGGCAATAATAATTATTCCTACATTGATGGGCAATTAATGGAGGCTAGCCAACCGAGGAAACGCACCCACCTATACAATTTTAGAAGGGCAATAATTTTGGAAAAATGTACAATGACGTGTGAGAGGCTAGAGCACTCCATGTGCTGATGTGGTTCTACTTTTGTTTTGAATAACTATAATATTAAGTAAGGATAGTCTAGAGAGGATTATGCCTCGTTTATTATACAATCCACGCCCCTGCTGATTCCTCAGTAGTCAGTCCTCACCCACCAAATAGTCAATAACGTAGCTGTCTGTCGTTATACAGAAAACAATAGTAAATAAATAAACATTATTTGTTAGCAAGGGATATTGCTTGGCCCACGAGATAGTCGAAGGTGACTCCGAAGTGGTCGTCAACCAAGTCCGTCAAGGCGTATTAGAAGACTCGATTGGTGGTCCGGTGTTACGACAGTGTCTTCAGATCCTTAGCTCTTTGTCTGTTTGTATAGAGTTTAGGGCGGTACCTAGATCCGCTGACTCGACTCTACTGTCACTCCAGGAATTGGCCAAGTGCAACCACTTCCTAAAGCGTAGTATAGCGGGTTTAGGTTTAATTATCAACCCGGGTCCTAGATTTGCTGACTACTCAGTGAGTTCTTGTTATCTAGCAATAAAACTGGAGTGCAAGTCTAAACTACCAAACTAACAAAGCAAGTAAACTGGTTGTATTCAGGTTAAAGAGGTCACCCGGATATGGTTCCCCCTAGACTGCAGTTAAGCCGGATTGTAATTACCAAGTTCAGTTTCTATGACAGTTATACTGCGGAAGGTTCTTAAACAGCCTGAAGTCTCGACTAAAGGTCTTCAGACCCTCTCAATCTGACTCTCTAGCGGGCGACTAACCTCCACCGGAGTCGACAGATTGAGGCCCTAAGAACAAAACCTCCACTACCGGAGTAAATCCGGTACAGAATAGTGAGTTGGCTCCTCGACTAAAGTCACCAACTCCCTACCTTCAATCAAGGATACTCTATTAACCTAGGCAGATATTCTCATTCTAGGTTAAAGCAGAAACAACAGGAATTTGATCAGGATTCAAGTCATTCAATCATCAAACCTCAATCGAATATAATCAATCACAGAATCAGTACTTGGGTTCATACAATCAAAGCCTAACATACAAATCTAGGGTTCTCCATACCCAGATGAATGGGAGAACTACTCCATAGAGAAGAAAGCAAAAGCAGAATCAGACACGGAATTCATACTGCGAAGGATGGATTCCTGCTTCTGGACGTTGATTGGCACTTCTCCAAGCTCAAGCTGGCCTCCAATGGTGTTGAAGATCAATCTAGGGCACTTGGGAACTCTTGCTCGTCACTTTCTCTCTCTAGGAACTGATCTCTCTCTCAAAAACTCGAATCCCCCCGAATTGTGGCTGAAATTCTGCTTAAAAGGAGAAAATCCCGACTCGCACGGCCAGGGTGCACGGCCGTGCACATCACCATTCTGGCCGTGCACCTCAAAACGCGGCGTATCAATAAGTTGAACCTCGGGCTTCTCGCACGGCCAGGATTGCACTTCGCACGGCCGTGCGGATTTCACTTGTGCCCGTGCAAGCTCTCGCACAATCCCGCACGGCCAGACTGGTTACATGCACGGCCGTGCGGGTTTTCTGCTCTGCCCGTGCGTCTTCTCGCATAATGTCGCACGGCCATAATTGTATGCTGCACGGCCGTGCGACTCCCTGGTCTGGCCGTGCAGCCTCCTTGGAATCTCGCCATGCGTCCGATCCGCGTCCAATCGACATCAAACTCGCTCCCAAGCCTCCATTCACGTACTAGGACCTGAAATATCATAAACAAGCACCACCTAGCGTGAAATCGGCCTAAAACACGAGAATCAATACCTCAAACAGAGTAAGAGCAGGGGTAAAAGCATGTGTAACTAACGGTCTATCAAACTCCCCCACACTTAACCGTTTGCTTGTCCCCAAGCAGACCTAACTCAAACCAATGCAGCTCTCCAGACCTCTATAGCAACAAACAACCCAGATCGTAGGTAGAGGACTTCCTAGATCATTTAGCAACTTACGAGGTCAACCGACGCACAAGTCATCTCAAAGCTTCTTATCGAGTTGGCATCATGGCAAACAGTGAACAGAGAACAAATGAATTGTGGATGGAGAGATTCTCAAAAACAAAGGATCATGGACTCACATTTTTCGAGGTGCTCGATTTTCTTTGAAGATGGTTGGAACCCCTTTTCTTTCTGTTTTGCTTGTTTTCTGTTATTTTTCTTTTCAAGGGTCCCAACCTGCTCTTACCGGCCATGCCAGGAGCGGATGTCTCGAGCCTCGTGCGGGGGAAAGACATGTAAGGGGGCTGGAGGTAGTAGGTGGAAATTGGGAACGAATTCCCGTCTCCCCTTACACACTTGCGCCCTATTCGCACGGGAGACGTTTATTTTGAAGCACATTTTCGAGCACCTGTTATTTTCAAAACATGATACAAGAGTCCATGACAGGCAGAGAATCCACAACACCACACAATTCAAAGGGTCCTAAGATCACTAATTCACTCAATCAACCAACACAATATGAAGAAGAAATGAGACTTCTTAAATGCATCAACATCCTCCATAGTGCTACACTACCTCCCTAGGTTGCATATTACCATAAAGACTGTCAATTCAAAGCATACTGAGCAGGCAATTGCACGGAAACACTTACTTGGAGCCCTCAAATTTAAAAATTTGGAAAGTGGACTAGGCTCCAAGCACACAAACAGATCTAATGCAGTCAAAGATAAACACCCCCCCACACTTAAGATCGACATTGCCCTCAATGGAGAAGAGGGAAGGATAAGGGAAAGATGTTACCGGTATGCACGGACTGCAGGAGACTGGAGGCGGGCCAGTCGGGGCAAGCACAGCCAAAGGAAAACACAGAGCTCAAACACAGTATGTTAGGTCCGATGGTCAGCCCAATAAAATATCATCCAAACCAAAAGAAAACAGACCAAACCCAAACCGGGTCTACAAACCGACTCAAAACTCAAGAAAGAAAAACAAACCGTGGTGGGGTTGCCTCCCCAGAAGCGCTTCTTTACCGTCGTATTAGCTGGACGCCCATGGCGGAACTAAGGGTCCGCGAGTTCCACTACCAACTCCGCACGTTCGACCTCGCCTCCCAGGTAGAGCTTGAGACGATGGCCATTCACTTTAAACGGCTCAGTCTGCGGGTTGGCGATCTCGATAGTGCCATACGGGAACACCTGTGTGACCGTGAACGGTCCAGACCACCGGGAGCGGAGTTTTCCGGGAAAGAGCTTCAGGCGAGAGTTGTAAAGGAGAACTCGATCACCAACCTGGAACTCTTTCGGACCCCGCAACCGTGCATCGTGCAGGCGCTTAGTGCGCTCCTTGTACAGCCGGGTGTTCTCATAGGCGTGGTAACGCCACTCTTCCAGCTCCAACATCTGCATTTTTCGCTCGATACCTGCAACACGAACATCCAAGTTGAGCAGTTTAAGGGCCCAGAAGGCCTTGTGCTCTAGCTCCACGGGCAAATGGCATGCCTTTCCATAGACAAGCCGGTACGGTGAAGTACCAATGGGCGTCTTGTAGGCAGTGCGATACGCCCATAGAGCATCATCGAGCTTGGTGGACCAGTCTTTGCGGGACTGATCCACCGTTTTCTCCAGGATTCGCTTGAGCTCCCGGTTCGTCAGCTCGGCCTGGCCACTGGTCTGGGGATGATAGGCCACGGACACCTTGTGAGTTACACCATAGCGAGACAGTAGTTTATCAAATTGGCCTTGGAAATGGGTGCCTCTATCGCTTATGATGGCTCTAGGTGTCCCGAACCGGGAGAATAGCTGCTTCAAAAAACCACAAACACGTCTAGCATCGTTGGTGGGCAAAGCTTGCGCCTCAGCCCACCTAGAGACGTAGTCAACAGCAACCAGAATATAGGTGTTACCAAAAGATGGAGGGAAGGGGCCCATGAAGTCGATACCCCAGACATCAAAAATCTCACAAGTTATAAACACATTCTGGGGCATCTCATCACGGGCAGAGATGTTACCTGACCTCTGGCATCGGTCGCACCTGCGTGCGAAGGCGTCTGCATCCTTGAAGAGCGTGGGCCAGTAAAAGCCCGACTGGAGAACCTTCCTCGCCGTGCGGTTTCCGCCGTGATGACCGCCAGTAGGTCCCTCATGACAGTGAGATAGAATGCCCTCCATCTCACTCTCCATAACACAACGACGGATGATCCCGTCGGCTCCGATCCGAAAAAGATGTGGGTCATCCCAGAAGTAGTACTTCAGATCGGAGAAAAACTTCCTCTTGGCGTGAGTTGGCATCCCCTTGGGCAGCTGCTGGCCCACCAAATAGTTCGCAAAATCAGAGTACCAGGGGGTGACACTCTCCACCAAGCACATCATCATCAACCTCTCATCGGGGAAGGAGTCATCAATCTCCTTCACGAGGCTGTCCGCAGGAGGTGCGTCCAACCGGGAGAGGTGATCAGCTGCAACATTTTCTGCTCCCTTCTTGTCCCGGATCTCAATATCAAACTCCTGCAATAGCAAGATCCATCGTATGAGCCGAGGCTTGGCATCGGCCTTGCTCATCAGGTATCTAATCGCGGAGTGATCTGTGTACACGGTCACATGGGACAAGACCAGATAGGGGCGAAACTTATCGAAGGCAAACACCACTGCAAGCAGCTCCTTCTCTGTGGTGGTGTAGTTCTCCTGGGCATCATTCAGAGTCTTCGAGGCGTAGTAGATAGGCCGGAAGTGTTGATCTCGCCTCTGCCCCAGAACAGCGCCAACAGCAAAGTCACTGGCGTCGCACATCAGCTCAAATGGTAGAGACCAGTCTGGAACAACCATGATAGGAGCCTGGGTGAGCTTCTCCTTCAAGGTGGTGAACGCTGCTGTGCAAGCATCAGTGAACAGGAAGGGGGCATCCTTCTCTAGAAGCTTGGTCAGGGGCAGGGCGATCTTCGAGAAATCCTTGATGAACCGCCTGTAGAAACCTGCATGGCCAAGAAAACTCCGGATCCCCTTTACAGATGTAGGAGGAGGCAGCTTGCTGATAGTCTCGATCTTTGCTATGTCCACCTCAATCCCCATCTTGGAGATCTTATGCCCAAGAACTATGCCTTCTCGAACCATGAAGTGACATTTCTCCCAACTCAGTGCCAGGTTCGTTTCTTCACACCGTTTAAGAACGATTTCCAGGTTATGGAGACAGTGAGAGAAGGAGTCTCCATAGACCGAGAAGTCGTCCATAAACACCTCCATGATCTCGCCGACCAGACGGTCAAAGATAGCGAGCATGCATCGCTGAAAAGTGGCTGGGGCGTTGCATAGCCCGAATGGAATCCTCCGGTAAGCAAATGTGCCGAAGGGGCAGGTGAAAGTGGTCTTCGCCTGGTCCTCCGGTGCTATAGGGATCTGAAAGTACCCGGACATCCCATCCAGGAAGCAGTAGAACTCGTGCCCCGCCAATCTCTCCAGCATCTGATCAATGAACGGCAGCGGGAAATGGTCCTTCCGAGTAGCGTCGTTGAGACGCCGATAGTCGATGCAAACACGGTACCCAGTCACCGTGCGCATCGGGATGAGCTCGTTCTTCTCGTTAGGCACCACGGTCATCCCACCCTTTTTGGGTACCACCTGGGTGGGACTGACCCACTCGCTGTCAGAAATGGCGAAGATGATCCCCGCGTCCATCAGCTTTACGATCTCTGCCCGAACCACCGCCTCCAGGTTCGGTGTCAATCTCCTCTGTGGCTGCCGCACTGGCCGCATCTCATCCTCCAGCAGTATCCGGTGCGAGCAAAAGGAGGGGCTGATCCCCCGGATGTCCGTGATCTTCCATGCCAAGGCTTGCTCGTACTGCTGCAGCAACGCCACCAGTCTGGTCTTCTGCTCGGGTGTGAGGGTCGAGCTGATGATGACTGGCAGCTTATTCCCCTCCCGGAGAAATGCGTACTCCAAATGAGGAGGGAGGGGCTTAAGCTCCAGCTCTGGTGGTTCCTCCAAGGAGGTGGTGATGCGAGTGGAGGATGAGATCGGTTTAAACAGCCTGTCGCCCTCCAAGAAGGGGCCACTCTCCAACGCGGCCAACTGCTCCGCCAGCTGCGGCTCCTGTGATGCCTGCTCACCTAGCAAAATACAACGCTCAAGAGCATCATCAGTACCCGCACTCGTTATGGCGAGTGCGGTCTCAAAGTCAGTAAACATATCACAGTAATCTATGTCATCATGCAAATGAGAGTGCTTCCCATTCTCAGACACAGAAAAAGTAGCCTGTTCATCACCAGCACGCAGAATCAATTGACCACTATGCACATCAATAAGCGCCTTGGCGGTGGCGAGAAATGGTCTACCCAAGATCAAAGGCACATCCACATCCTCATTTATATCCAAAATAACAAAATCAACAGGATATGTGAATGCACCAACATTAACAAGCAAGTCCTCAATGATACCCCTAGGATGCACGATTGAGCGATCAGCTAACTGAATGCTCATCCTAGTAGCTCTAGGTTCACCTAGGTCTAGCTTCTTAAACAGTTTATAGGGCATGACATTTATACTAGCGCCTAGGTCCGCCAAGGACTTTCCTACATGCATGCTGCCAATAACAAGAGGGATAGTGAAACTCCCTGGGTCTTTGCGCTTCTCGGGCAGCTTGTTCTGCAGGATAGCAGAACACTCCTCGCTGAGCATCACTGTCGAAAGATCCCCAAGTTTCTTCTTGTTGGTGAGGAGGTCTTTCATAAACTTGGCATACTTGGGCATCTTCGACAGTGCCTCCACGAACGGCATGCTGATGTTTACCTGCTTCAACATTGCCATGAACTTGGCAAACTCTGTCTCCAGCCTGTCTTTGTGAAGTCTAGTGGGGAAGGGCAGCTGGGGTGTATGCTCCTTAACCACAGGTTGTGGCTTGGGAGCAGGTGCTGCGCTGCCTTCCTCCACTTCTGCAGTATCAGCTGGAGGTGTTGAAGCAGGTAGTGGTTCGTCTCGCCTGGGCTGGGCAGGAGTAGCAGATATGGTCTTACCACTCCTGGTGGTGATGGCATGGGCGGTCTCTTGGGGGTCACGAGGATTGGGGACAGTGGTGGCAGGCAGAGTCCCCGGTGCCCTTGTAGTGTTCTGGCGAGCTAAGCTCCCTATCTGGTGCTGGAGATCCTGCAGAATGGCACCTTGGTTTCTCTGGCCTGCCTCCAGGGTTCTCTGGCCTGCCTCCAGTGAAGCTATGGTCTGATCCATCCTCGTGATACTTGCCTGGCTGGTGGTCATGAATGCTGCCAAAATGTTCTTCAGCTCGGTCATCTGATTATCGGGAGCTGGCGCTGCTGCTGGTTCGGCATACTGACGCTGAGGCTGCTGGAATGGCTGCCCTTGCCTAGGCTGGTAAGGCTGCTGCTGTGGTGGTAGCCCCTGCCTAGCCTGGAAGGGCTGCCTCTGCTGGAGACCACCTGCTGGTGCTGGGAAACCAGGTGGCTTGTTGGCGTTGCTGCTCCAGGCAAAGTTGGGATGCTGGCGCCATCCCTCATTATAGGTACTGCTGTATGGATCCAGGCGCCGAGCATTTGCTATGAAGTCCACCTGCTCTTGGGGAGTAGAAGACTCCCTCATAGACTGACAATCTTCCACCAGGTGGTTTGGGCTCTCACACCACTGACACTGAGCGACTGGAGGCGGAGTTACACCTCGGCCCGGTAGGAGACTGTTGGGCTGCTTCAATGTCTGCACCAACTCAGCCACCTGCTGCTCTAACCCGGATCTGGTCTCCATGGCATGCACACCACGGTCCCGGGAATGCCTGCCTCTGCTGCTCTGCCCCCAGGAATGATCTCTGGCAGCTAATGTATTAATCATCTGGTTCAGCTCGGGTGCAGTCTTAGTGAGAATATCCCCTCCTGGGCATAGAGATTCAATCACCCTCTGGCTATCTGGGGAGAGAGCGCTGTAGAAGTTCCCTACTGTGAAAGCATCGCTGAAGCCATGATGGGGACACTGCCAGAAGTATCCCATGTACCGCTCCCATGCATCACGAAGTGACTCATCTGGCTCCTGGCGGAAGTGAGTGATCTCCCGCTGAATCTCTGTAGTCTTCGACGCAGGGTAGTACCTGTGCACGAACTTGTCTGCCAGATCGTCCCAAGAGGTGATGGACAATGGTGGCTGGGTCTCCAACCACCTCTTGGCATTCCCCGCCAGAGAATGGGGGAAGAGATGAAGGCGGATCGCATCATCCGGGACACCATTCAGCTTGAACCCGTTCGTCAGCTGCAGAAAACGGGACAAGTGCACCCTGGCCTCCTCATCCTTCAAGCCATGGAACTGGATAGAAGATGTGATGAGCTGAATCCAGCATGGCTTGATCTCGAAGTTGTTTGCTGGGATCGGCGGGTAGAGGATGACCGGGCGGATGTCAGCAATCCGAGGAGTGTAATAGTACTCCAAGGTGGGACCCGGCTGCGGTGGATGATGAGCTCCATGATCCTGGGGTATGGGGTTGTTCCCCAGGACCTGATTCACCGGGGGATTCCCCTGGTGCTGATTGTAGTCTCCGTCCATTCCGTGCTCTTCTTCAGAATCGCTGCTCAGGTGGCCGTCTATGCGCTCTTCCGTAGCCAGTCTAGCTCGCTGTTGTCTCCTGAGCTGGCGACAGGTGCGGTCAATCTCTGGATTCAACGGCAGTAAACCTCCCGACTGGCTACGGGTCATGCACTACCTGCACACACTCAAGCAACAAACCCGTGAAGGCACAAGTGGGACAAAGTAAACAAAGTACAAAGAAAAGCTAAATTAACAGAAATCACTTTTCTTCAACAACCTAGCCGTCCCCGGCAACGGCGCCAAAAACTTGACTCGACTCTACTGTCACTCCAGGAATTGGCCAAGTGCAACCACTTCCTAAAGCGTAGTATAGCGGGTTTAGGTTTAATTATCAACCCGGGTCCTAGATTTGCTGACTACTCAGTGAGTTCTTGTTATCTAGCAATAAAACTGGAGTGCAAGTCTAAACTACCAAACTAACAAAGCAAGTAAACTGGTTGTATTCAGGTTAAAGAGGTCACCCGGATATGGTTCCCCCTAGACTGCAGTTAAGCCGGATTGTAATTACCAAGTTCAGTTTCTATGACAGTTATACTGCGGAAGGTTCTTAAACAGCCTGAAGTCTCGACTAAAGGTCTTCAGACCCTCTCAATCTGACTCTCTAGCGGGCGACTAACCTCCACCGGAGTCGACAGATTGAGGCCCTAAGAACAAAACCTCCACTACCGGAGTAAATCCGGTACAGAATAGTGAGTTGGCTCCTCGACTAAAGTCACCAACTCCCTACCTTCAATCAAGGATACTCTATTAACCTAGGCAGATATTCTCATTCTAGGTTAAAGCAGAAACAACAGGAATTTGATCAGGATTCAAGTCATTCAATCATCAAACCTCAATCGAATATAATCAATCACAGAATCAGTACTTGGGTTCATACAATCAAAGCCTAACATACAAATCTAGGGTTCTCCATACCCAGATGAATGGGAGAACTACTCCATAGAGAAGAAAGCAAAAGCAGAATCAGACACGGAATTCATACTGCGAAGGATGGATTCCTGCTTCTGGACGTTGATTGGCACTTCTCCAAGCTCAAGCTGGCCTCCAATGGTGTTGAAGATCAATCTAGGGCACTTGGGAACTCTTGCTCGTCACTTTCTCTCTCTAGGAACTGATCTCTCTCTCAAAAACTCGAATCCCCCCGAATTGTGGCTGAAATTCTGCTTAAAAGGAGAAAATCCCGACTCGCACGGCCAGGGTGCACGGCCGTGCACATCACCATTCTGGCCGTGCACCTCAAAACGCGGCGTATCAATAAGTTGAACCTCGGGCTTCTCGCACGGCCAGGATTGCACTTCGCACGGCCGTGCGGATTTCACTTGTGCCCGTGCAAGCTCTCGCACAATCCCGCACGGCCAGACTGGTTACATGCACGGCCGTGCGGGTTTTCTGCTCTGCCCGTGCGTCTTCTCGCATAATGTCGCACGGCCATAATTGTATGCTGCACGGCCGTGCGACTCCCTGGTCTGGCCGTGCAGCCTCCTTGGAATCTCGCCATGCGTCCGATCCGCGTCCAATCGACATCAAACTCGCTCCCAAGCCTCCATTCACGTACTAGGACCTGAAATATCATAAACAAGCACCACCTAGCGTGAAATCGGCCTAAAACACGAGAATCAATACCTCAAACAGAGTAAGAGCAGGGGTAAAAGCATGTGTAACTAACGGTCTATCATCCGCCATCAGTGCTGCCCATAGAGTGGCGCGTAAAGCACTGCTTTTGTCTCGTGTAGAGCTAGAATCTTTTGATTTTTTGGGGTGGCTTCTTTAGAGTCTTTTAGGGGTCCTGGGTAGAATTGTAAGCTTAACTATTATTTTCCATTGATATCACTCAGAAAAAAAAGGTTATCAACCTGGTTTATCTGATTCGCCCGGTCGAGTAAGTGGATGAAAAGATATTTTGGATAGATCGTATTAGCTCGAGTATTGATGAGCCTTAAGAAGGGTCTTTTTATTTAGAATCGTGCGTCTACCAATTCAATCGAGAAGAACTGGAGTGAAAATTGAAAATTGAAAAAGAAAACGGACCAAAGGTGCAACCTCACACAATGGAAAGATGCTCGAATGATTTAAGATTGAAACTCGACCACGATTGAGGTGGTTTTCAATTGATACAAAGCACAAATCGATGCCGGAACACGACCAACAGACGAAGTGTTTGGTGACAATGTCACTTTTCTCATTCAACTAAAAACTATGTTTACAACGAGGCTTCCTAGCCTTTAAATAGCAAACAACAACTATAATTGAACTCTATTCTATTAAGGAATCAAAACTAGCTCAAACTCTAACAAGGAAAATGCGCAAAATTGGGTCAAAGGATGGACCGGGACCCTTGGAATTCTTGTTCGAATTCCCTTTACCAGATTTCTTCTTTCCCTTTCCACCTGTAACAGCCAAACCCGATGCCTCACCACCTGTACCAGATCCGGACGCCTTATGCCTGATCTCTCTCGTATGAAGAGCAGACCTGACATCTTCCAACGACACGCTTTCTTTACCAGCTATAAAAGAATCAACGAAATTCTCATATGAACTCGGCAAAGAAACCAGCAGGATTAGGGCAGCATCCTCGTCATCAACTTGAACATCTATATTACGCAGATCCAGCAAAATAGAGTCAACCTGTTCGAGATGTTCCCTCAAAGGCGTACCTTCTTGCATCCTCAAGCTGAATAACCGTTGCTTGAGATGCAGCTTGTTGGTTAAGGACTTTGTCATATACAGACTCTCCAACTTTAGCCACAAGCCCGCGACAGTCTTCTCAGTAGCGACTTCAATGATGACGTCATCAGACAACGATAGCATGATGGTCGAGTGGGCCTTCTCCTCCAGGGTATTCCACTCATCGTCATCGACCGCTGCCTTCTTCTGTTTCGCAGACAGTGGCCCCCACAACCCTTGCTGTTTTAATAAAGCCTACATCTTGATCTGCCATATAGCGAAGTTGTTCTTCCCCGTGAACTTTTCGATCTTCATGTTCACCGACGTCATTCTTCTGAATCGAAAACCCTAGCCTGATTTCCAGTCGCAGCTCTGATACCACTTGTTATAAACGCGCTGCTACGGATCGAGAAATCGTCGGAATCGATAAAGCAAGAATACGAAAGCGAGAATCGAAAAACACAGACACACGATTTACGTGGTTCACTAACACGATGTGTGTTAGCTACGTCCACGGGCGAGAGAGAGCCAGTTTCACTATATCGAGGAGATTACAGAGGAGTATGAGAAGTATTTATAGTACTTCTCCATGTGGGTCTAAACCTAATCCAATCTGGCAAAGGAAACGGTTACAGACCAGGCCCAGAACCCGAACCCAAATAATATTGAGCCCATACACCGTGGGCCGGGGGCGTTGTATCCGCACCCCCACCGGGGCGTTGCCCCTGGACCCCACTCGCTGACCGGACAGCGAGACCCCCGATTATCAGTCATAGCGGCTGATAGTCCGATTCAAGTCACATCACTTGTTTTATGTGAGCTGTCTGCCTCTCTCACCCTTCACAAGCTGCCGCCGCCGCCGCCAAGTTCTCTTCCTCCTCTCTTCTCTCCCGCAAGTTGCAGGCAGAAGGAAGACGACGGTTCAGCCATTCGGCCGGGCCTTTTCTTCAGACCCGGTGCTAAGATCGGCGGTACCTTCCCGGCGAGCGTCTTCCTCTATCGGCGTCGACTTCTCATGGCGAATCAGCCGACGTTCACCTCCGCACTGTGCAAGAGAAGCCCGATCCATCTTCTCTCTCGGCCAGCCTCGCGTTCACCGGCTCGACGCTCTTCGAGTCCACAACCTCGCTAGCGACGCTCTTCGAGTCCACAACATACAGTGCCGGAACGCCAACATCAGCAGCCAGAAGGCCACTGACCACCACCGCAACCACCACGATGACATACAACACCCACCCGTTCCAGCTGTTGGAGATCAACGTGATCTCGGCGCAGGACCTGGTGCCCGTGTCGAAGTCAATGAAGACGTACGCGGTGGTGTGGGTCCACCCGGAGCGCAAGCTGAGCCCCAAGGTCGACCATGGAGGCAACATCAACCCCCAATGGAACGAGAAGTTCGTCTTCCGCGTCGACGAAACCTTCCTCAATGCTGACACCTCCTCCGTCATGATCGAGATCTACGCCGCCTCCTGCTCCGCGACGTTCAGATCGGCTCCGTCCGCGTACTCATCAGCAACCTCTTCCACTCTGGCAACCATAACAACCACAACAACAACAACGCCAAGATGCGTTGATCGGGTTTGGGGATTTGGATGGAAATTCGGGTGGTTGATCGGCCATCCATTGCTGTCGTGGCGGTGGAGGAGAAAGAATTTGGGGGTGTTAGATAATCATCATAAATCCAGCGTGGTGGGTGTTAATTAGTAGATAATTAACAGGAATTAAAGTATTAACCCCATTTGTCGATTGCTTGTTTATTATCATATTCAAAAGCTCGACGTGGAAGGAATCCAATGATCAGAGAGAGCGCAGAGCAAAACTAGGATTCTGGGTTGATTTTTTTTTTTTCTATTTAGCATGTAAAGCATGTTCGAGAGACTATATATCATTGTTAAGGGGTTTTAAATGTATTTTAGTGTAATATTGTGTTTATCCTATGCCTTTAGGAGTTATTGATATGCAGATCACTAGTCTTTAATAAACACACCAGAAACCTCCTAATGCATACCATAAATCCATTAAAACATACTAGAAATTCCACAAAGCAAACCACAAATCCATTAAAACAAACCAACAACCCCACAAATCAAACCATAAAATTTTCGAAAGCACACCATAAACCTCTTAATGCAAACCAGAAACACAATAAAGCAAACCAGAAATCTCCGAATGCATACCACAAATCTCCTAAAGCAAACCACAAACCTCACAAAGCAAACCACCACATTTGCGAAAGCACACCAAAAACCTCCTAATGCAAACCACAAACACAGTAAATCAAACCACAAAAAAGCAACCATAAACGTCCCAATGCAAACCACAAATATATTAAAACAAACCAGAAACCCCTCAATGCAAACCACAAAGTTTTTCAAAACAAACCAGAAACTTCTTAATGCAAACCACAAACACAATAAAGCAAACCAGAAACTTCTCAATGCAAACCACAAACACGATAAAGCAAACCACAAAAGACATACAAAAATATGAGAAACCAAACCATAAATCTCACAATGCAGACCATAACATCCGGTGGTCGTTGGCCGTTGACCAAACTCTGATGACCATCAGTGAGTAGATTCCGGCGCCGATAGACATATTCCGGCTCTGATGACTAGATTCCGACATCGGTAAGCATATTCCGACCACGGTGAGCATATTCCGGCGACAGTGGCATATTCCGATGACAAAATAGCATATTCTGGCGACAAAAAGCATATTCCGGTGACCGTCGACCAGATTCCGGCGACCGATGGCCGAATTCCGGTGACCACAATTTTGGGCCGAAAATAAAAAAATATTTTTTATATTTTTTATTATCATTTAAACATATTTTTCATAATGACAATTATACCCCTGCTTTGATTTTACACTAGGTCAACTCATCTAATAAAAAGTCATCACACCCTACATTCCTATTGGTTGGAGACTAGTATTGTTAGAATAACAACACAAAGAGTGTTGTCATAGTATCTAGTCCCGTTAATGATTGGTCGGTATGTTTGGATTGTGCGACAACAATGAAATTAATGTTGTTTTTTTAACCAGTACCCCTTTTGGTTTTGTGAATTTGCCGATTTGCAGTGTGTTAACCAATTTGGGGAGAGTCAGGATAACAAAATTGGATTAGTTTGCTTGAATTTGTAGTGTGTTTAACCAAACTGTTGTTTATTTTTTGATTGTTATGCTGATTGGCATGATTGTAAAAGTTTGGTTTTGGTTGCAGCTGCATTATGTAGCAATGAAGAGCACCACTGACTGAGTCAGAGAAGTACTATGTTAGACAACGGTGTAATGACAAGAATTTCCATCCTTATAAGCTCTGTGAATTTAAGATCATTTTCCGTGCTTGATTAGTGGGGTTAATTGCCTTGCTGCTGCTAGCGGTGCTCTCGATCGGCCAGTCTCTCTTGATTTATTTAAATAATTAGTTTCCCAGTTGTAGCCTTTCCGGCGGGGCTCAATATAGGGTGCATAACCATGGGTTATGCATTCATTAATAACCAAATCTGGGCCATTCATTTAGAAAATTAAAGATCATTTTTATTTTCTCTAGTTTTCTTAATCGGCTCATATCTTTTTCGTTTTAACTCGGATTTTAATTTTTTTTTTTGCGCAGGTGGAACGAGTTCATCGTGCTCTACATAATGAGATCAATTTTCAATATTTTTTTAGAACAAAAAATTCTGGCCTCTCGGTACCAACTGCATACCATATGGTATTTTCTTCATTTTTAATTCGTTTTTGAAAATGTTTGCACAGAAGGGACGAGTTCATCATGATATATTGGATCTACAAATTTCTGGGTGAACAAATTACAGGACCAAAAAATATCACACAATACCATACAATACCACCCTGGTACGGGGTGGTATTGTATGGTATCTTCTTCTTTTTTAATTCGTTTTTGAAAACGTTTGCACAGAAGGGACGAGTTCATCATGATCTATTGGATCTACAAATTTATGGGTGAACAAATTACAGGACCAAAAAATACCACACAATACTATACAATACCACCCTGGTACGGGGTGGTATCTTGTGGTATACAATGTTAAAAGTCGTAAATGACAATTAATATATTTCTACTATCATGTATTCAACCATCCTACAGTCTTGGTTTGTTCATACCACCATGGTACTTTTTTAAAACCATAGGTATGCTTTTCTTTCAATATTAGTCAATACCATATGGTATAGACTGGTAAAAATTGGCTCAATTTTTTTTGTTCGAAAAATATATTAAAGTGGATATTATTTTGAAAAGCACAATTAATCTGATCTAACTGTACAAAAAAAATTAAATTTCGACTTAAAATGAGTGAGAAATCGTCATTCAAAGATTAAAGAGGGAAGAATTAAAGGCTTTCCAGGAGAGAGGATGCTGATGTGAACGGGTTACTCATAGTTATTCACCACAAGGTTACTCACCGGATCTTCTCCCTTCCGGCGGAACACCTCTCTCCGACATGTGGAGGGGTCTGCAATTTACGGTAACTTTTGGTTAGTTAAATCTTTTCCTTATTATCAGCAAGAAATTAAACTTTTTCTGTATTGCCTCCTTTGTGGGTCAATTCAAATTAGAGAGGTTAACCCTCATTTTATGCCTTGTAAATTATAATAATTCGTATACTAGTTGGCGATGCCGCGTCTTGTCGCGGACGGAGATGGTCTATTTGCATGTATTATGTGATTCATTATAGTGTTTTGTTGGTATTAATAGTCTAAAATTAATTTTTTGTTAGCAGTTTTGTTGGTAATATTGACTTGGCATTATGATATTTACTTCCATAATTTAAATATGTATGAGTTGGGTATGGTACCCATTTATTCGAGAGTGTTTTAATTACAAATACAAAAATTAGACTTATTCGTAGAACTTCAAAAGTTTAGGTACCAAAATGTAATACACATAATTTTAGGTACTAAAATGTAATGTTCCATCAATATTTGGATGACTGATATGCCAAAAAATAAATTTAGTTTATAAATCTAAATATCTATCAAGTTTAGGTACCAAGGTTGTCAAACCGGTTTGTGCCAGTGTGCCGGTTTAGCAAGTGGAATGGTTCGACTGGTGGTACATACCGGTTTGTGCCGGTTAATATTACAAATAATTTACAAATACTCATATTTAAGCACGACATTTAACGTCAATACCTAAATATTTGTACTTGAATCCAGTAATAACATCAACATTTAACTTTTTAACACATAAAATAAATAATAAATTACTTTTTATCAAATAAATTCACTAATATAAGATCATTTTACTTAGAGATTCGTATATCGATCATGCCAGTCATACTGGTGGTGTCATACCGGTTTTATGACCGGTACAGGTTGAACCAGGTTGAACCAGTGGCACGCCGGCCGACGTGACAATCATGTTAGGTACGGAACTGTAATTTGCATAGTTTAGACTTAATTCCTTTTATGATGATGTATTTAAGATAATAATTATTTATTTTTTTATAGAAAAATGGAAATTTTTTATTTGATATATACAGATACCTAGCCAAACATTCCATGTATAATCGTTGAAAATTCTAGCCCAGGTGAAAAAGAAAAACTCTAGAGAGAAGAAAAAGGAATACAAACTGGAGTTCGCTTAAAATTTCACGCCTTCAAATTCCATAGTGGAAAATGACGAATTTCTAATAAGCAATAACCATATATATTTATTTTTAATTGACTCGACATTGAGCTGAAACAGTTAGTGGTTCATGGTTCAATTATTAATTCTCTGAACTGTTGGTGAGTCGTTTATGAACCCGTTCATACTTGTTATTAGAATACATAAAAATAGTATACTAATTAGGTTAGACAAAGAAGGCAAAGAATGAAATCAAGAAAGGGTTATGGAAGGCGAGTGAAAAATGAAACGAAAAGTAAGTAGATGATGGAAAGGTTTTGACCAATTCTTTTAGTTGGCCGTCAATACAATAGTCAACTAAAAGGGTAAGTAGATGATGGAATGCGAGTGAAAAATGAAACAGAGAGTAAGTAGATGATGGAAAGGTTTTGAAAATGGTACTTTTTCAAATTTTCACAGTAGCAATTTATTGACACTTGCTTATGTAGATGTCGCATATTTTGTTACATGTAGTTAGTAAAAGTTTGTTTAATAGCTCGTAAATGTAGTAAACGAGTTTATAAATTCGCTCTTTCAATACTTTAGTGTCATCTCTCTTTTATCATTTTATTTAATATTTCACGTAATGAGCAAATATAAAATGGTCGAATCTCCTCGTACAGTTGAGTGATACAACATCTTGTATTGTACAAACTAAATTTATACTTTTATGTTATGGTAGATTGGATTCATGGATGGGTTCAAAAGGATTGGTGGATTGGATTCAAGTGAAATCTAAACATTGGACTAATACGTAAATTTAAAAAATTGTAGATACGAAAGTCTCATAAATTTTAGATACCAAAACATAATTGTTCAATGATGTTACATTAAAATTAAGTTTGGGGTATCAAAATTTCAAATGTGATCTTCTCGTGATCAGTGGCAGTGGAGACCACATGTACTGGGAGCTTCGTGAGCCTGCTCGCCGAGGCAGGCTCTGATCCTGGAACGGGGCCCATCTAGACCTGCCGAGGCGGCAGTTGCAGGGGATGGTGCGGCGCTCCGTGGAAGAATGTCTTCCAAATCCAGGAAATCGCAGCGTACAATCCGTAAATTACTCCGATGGACACCAGCATGAAGCCTGCCCTGCTATCTCGAAGCTCCTCTGATTTCGCGTCACCAGAGAGCGGATCAATACGTGTAGACATCACTTTACTGTTTGACTGTTCTTTTTTTTTTTTTTTTTTTACTTCAGTTTACTTTTTTTTTCCTCGAAAACTTTTCCAACCATATGTGTGTTTGTACAGCCGCCCGTTCCTATGATTTTATAGAGAAGTTTGTTTCCATAAACAGAACATTAAAATGTTGCTTTACTTTTGTGAAAAGAGAAAGATCAAAGATACATAGGGGGAAACGGTTATTACAATATTATTTTGATCGAACTCTGCATCCTCATCCCGTCATCTGTAATGGACACATTGACACTTCTTAGCTATAGAGTAGTACAAGATGCCTATGTAATGTAAGGAGGGGAAAAAAGGCTCCGGCCAAGTTGTTTTGGCCTCTGGGAATGGAAAGGGATTTTCTTGTTGTGGTCCAAAGTGGTTGGTTTAAAGCTAAAACTAGGATACTGTTCACTAAGGCCTGTTTACTTTCATTTCTGTTTCCTGTTTTTGTGAAAACAGATGTTGAAAACAGATGAAAACAACATTTTGTCGTTTCCGAAAACAGCAGGAAGTTGCCACTTTCTGTTTTCATAGTTGGAAACGAATAAAAAACAGAATGAAAAGTAAACAAGTTTTCTCATTTCGGTTGCCAAAGTTAACACATGAAAACAGAAAACAGGAAACGAAAATGGAAGTGAACAGGGCCTAAGCTTTTATACATCATAACAATCTCAGTAGATTGGGCTTTTCATTTGAGATGTGATATTGGATCATGGATTTTTGTGTTGTGGTTACTTTCCGTAAGATTTTAGATGTAAAGCTAAAACTAGGTTACTACATAACAATTCCATTAAATTGGGCTTTTCATTTGAGATGTAAATGTGATATTGCATTTTATTCAGGCTGTGCTATTGGGCTCACGTAATTTTTTGTGTTGAGGGCCCATTTTTTAGTTTATTTTAGGAATGTGAACACATTTGAATTAGCTTTTATTATTGTATTTTGTTGGCGGGTAAGATTAGGTCCTTAAGCATAATTGTTTAAGGAGATTCTTAAATAATTTTTATTGGTTGATAGTAGATTAGACATTTAAATAGGAGTTAGTAGTTAATTAATAGATAGTTGAGGATAAATAAAATATTATAAAAATATAATTAGTATTACTCATTAATGATTCTCTTTCTCTCTCCCTTGATATTCTCCATAACCTTCTCTCTCCACTATAATTAAAATAAAATTCGAAATTAATTTAATTAAATATTATTATTTAATATTTAATAAAATTTAAACTTAATATTTTTATTTTTTAAAAATGGAAATTGAAATTTAAAATATATGTTCTCTCTCACTTCGTGGCAATTTGCAATGGAGTATTAACGTTTTTCAATGACATTATCAACATTTATGAAATGAATCATTATTACTATACCTCATCATTGTTAACGATTTCAATATACCTATTAATTCTTTACAATTATATTATTAACATTTTTGGATCAAGTATTACCGTTTCATAGTTTCGTCATCAATATTTATTAATGAATCATTAAAGTTATGCAACATGGTCATTAACACTTTGAATAACAATATCATTGATTTACAACATCTTTACTAACGATTCACGTTTTCACATTATGTTTATAACTATCTAGTCATGGCCTCTTCCTATGATTTCTAATGATATTATTAACGTTTTACGATAATATTGTTTTACATGATCATTCTCAATTATCATAAAACACAATATTGATTTTTAACATCTTGGACACTTGTGACATAGTGCATCTGTGTGATTCAGACAAACAAACATTAGTAAAGAAAAATATTAGTTCAAGAAAACCAACATTCATGCCTCAACGCCAAACTTTTAATAACAATACAATAACTCATTGATAGCGAAAAGTATTTGGTTGAAAATAAACACAAAATATCAATATAATAATGTCCAACTTCAATATTATAAAATGTAATCAAACTTTTAATAAGGGTTAATTGCATGGTCGGTCACTGACATTACAAAAAGCGTTGATGTTTGGTCACTCTAATTTTTTTTTTTTAAGAAGGGGAGGCAAAAGCCAAGGTTACAGACACAGGCAGAGTTGGTGGTTTACAACACTGCACACGAGCAGCGCGCCAATAGCTGCGGAAAATTCAGACCAAAACCAAAGAAAGCCAAAGCCAAAAACAGGTGGCTGCCCATGAACTCCAATCAGTCCAACTAGTCTCTATTCAGCAGAACTCTCTGAGGGAAACTAACCCCCACAATGTCCTCAAGCAAAATTTTTCCTAGCTCTCTAGGTGGACTCGCTAATTCACTCTTACCGAAGGGGTAGACGAGACTATGCTTCGAGAGCCAGTCCGCGACTCTATTCCCTTCTCTGTACGTGTGAACCAGCCTGACCACCAAGTTCTGAGACATCATACGTCGAATAGCAGCCAACATCATGGAGTGAAGGTGAACGGGGTCTTCTCGCGCTTTGATAAGGTCAATAGCAAGCTGCGAATCTGTTTCTAAGATAAGAAACTGAGTACCTTGATTCCAAGCCATGATTAGCCCCTGGTGAATGCCCCACAACTCCGCAAGAATAGCTGAGCCTGTTCCAATCTTGCAACAGAAGCCACAAATCCAAACTCCATTACTATCCCGGAGCACCCCGCCTGCCGTCGCTAGCCCTTGATTGCCCAGAGGTGCGCCATCCGTGTTCATTTTCCTCCATTCACCCGGTGGCGCCTTCCAACCAATCAGCTGATCCAATCTCAAAGGTTTCTCTATCGCACTTAAGCTTGAGGTGGCATTATCCCACGTCTTCAACCAGTCAGTAGCTTTGGAAGTGACATAGTTGACTATGGAAGACTCCGCCATCTTTTGCCCCTGAAAAATAAATTCGTTTCTATACTTCCAAACATACCAACACGTTAAAGCGAAGAGGCTCGGCCAGTCCTCCTGGATATCCACCCCCAGTTTCTTCTCCATGTTCATTTCAAACCAACTCACCTGATCTTCAGCAAAGAAGCTCTGCTGAGCCTGAACAGGGAGCAACTTTTCCCAAATCTTCCGCGTGGCTGTGCAGTCTCTCAAGCAGTGAATATTGGTCTCAACTGCTTCTTTGCAAAGCTGGCACGTATCATCAGTAGTGAGGTGACGGAACTTTCGAACACTATTAGTGGACAGCTTCCCTTTAGCGGCGAGCCAAATAAAGAAGCGGACTCTTTCTGGGCAATGGAGTCTCCAAATCTTCTTCCAGTCGATGCGATCCTGGCCTGCTTGATCTGGCGTCATGGTTTAATAGACCGAGCTAACACTGAACATGCCATTAGGAGTATTTCTCCAAAAAAGAGTATCATCGTCGCTGGTCAGAGGGTCAAGCCAAACACCCCGCATTTTATCAATGATTTCTGGCGGGAGGTACGGCTGAATCTCCTGAAAATTCCATCCTGTATTTGCATCCCAGTAGTCAGCCACCCTTTTGTCCCTGTACTCCAAAGGGACCTCAGTCGTTGCCAGCTCCACCAGGGGTTCCTGCATAATCCATACATCAGACCAGAATTTAGTGTCTTGCCCATTTTTAATATTGTAAGCAATCCCTTTTTTCAAAAGGTTCACCATTTGAGAAAAACTGTTCCATGCAAAGGAACTTCCCTTTATTTTGCTAAGCACGTGAATTCCCTTCCTATCCCTCCCGTACTTGCTTCTCATAGCTCGAACCCACAGCTTTTTATCCTCCTTCACCAGGCTCCAGGCTCCTTTGGTCAGCATAGCTTGATTCGCAAGTCTTGTTAGCCTTATCCCCACGCCTCCTCGTTGTCTTGGCAAGGTCATCTGATCCCAAGCAATCGGGTGAAACTTCGTCTTGCCGTCCTCCTCTCCCCACACGAATTGCCGATTGATCCTGTTAAGAGATTTACAAATAGAAGTAGGTAATCTTTCGATAAACATGGGGTAAACTGCCATGGAAGAGGCTACAGATTTCACCAGGGTAATCCGTCCAGCAACTGACAGATGATTTGCTTTCCATGAAGCCAATTTTTGTTGAATTTTCAGCACCAATTCCTGGTATCTGGCCTGAGTGATCCTGCCATTAATAGCTTTTAATCCCAGATATCTGCCTAGATCACTAGTAAGAGTAATCCCAGCCCTTGCACTGAGCCTCTTCACTCTGTCTCTCTGGATATTAGGGGACACAAACATAGCTGACTTGTGCAAGTTCACTCTCTGTCCCGAACTTGAGCAGAAATCCTCCAAGCACGATCGAATCACTTCAACCTGACCACCTTCAACTTCAGCAAACAAAATCAGGTCGTCAGCAAAAAAGAGATGATATAGCTTTGGGCCACCCTTGGTGAGAGAGAGTGGTTTCCAAAGTTTCTCCTCTACAGCTTGTTCATTACGATGAGCTAATCTTTCCATACATAAAACAAAGAGAAAAGGGGATAAGGGATCTCCCTGTCTGACGCCCCTAGTAGGATTGAACTTCGAGGTCAACTCGCCATTCCAGTTGATCCGCATTTTGTTTCTCTCCACACACGTCATAATCCTGCTTATCCAAGAACTAGGGAGGCCTATCTCCCCCAGAGTGTCCCGAAGAAATCCCCAGTGAAGGCGATCATAAGCCTTCTCTAGATCAATCCTAATAACCAGACCTCTCTTAGTCCCTTTCCTTTTCCTCAGTGAATGAAGGACCTCTTGAAGCAGTAAGATATTGTCATTCGTTTGTCTTCCCTTGATAAAACCATTATGGGTCGGAGCTACTAGCTTTGGCATAAGAGGTTTGAGTCTGCTAGCTATGGACTTGGTAATGGCCTTCAAAACCACATTATTTAGACTGATGGGTCTGAACTGAGCTGGGCTTTCAGGATGATCAACCTTTGGGATAAGAACCATCGTGGATCCGAAGACCTCATCCGAGAGATTTCCTGATTCAAAAAAGTGAGTAGCCAGCTCCGTCATATTCTTTCCCACAAGAGGCCAAAACTTCTGGTAGAAAACAGCCTGATACCCGTCCGGCCTAGGAGCCGACATAGGTTTCATCCCAAACATGGCCATATGAAAGTATGAGATATGAAAAGGATGAAGCATCCCTAGGAGATCAGCTTGTTGCAGACGCGGAAACCTGCCTCTAGGCATAAGATCCTCATAGACTCCATCTTCCTGGGTGTACAAGTTTTCATAGAAATGCATCACTAAGGCCCTGAGGTCTTCCTGATTATCGATCCAATTCCCATTTGGGTCCCTCAGAGCCAGGATTTTGTTTCTTCTATGCCTTCTGGTAGCTTGCTGGTGGAAATAGGAGGTGTTCTGCTCTCCCAACTTGACCCATTTTTCTCTTTCCCTCTGAAACCACAGAACTTCCTCCTGAGCAATGATTAAATCCAGATCCTTCTCAAGTTTAAGTTGCAGTTTCAGGAGGCCCGGGCTAAAAGAATCCGCCAGTCTAGTAGTAATTCCTTGAAGTCTCGCAAGCAATATTCTTTTTTGACAAATAGTGGATCCAAAGACCTCCCTTAGCTTCTCCGTCAACTCATTCAAGGAGATGCAGAGGTCCGAGTCCTTGTGCCAGCTCTCCTCCATGAATTTGTTGAATTGAGGATGTAGGAGCCACGCCACCTCAAACCGGAACGGTTTGGAATCCACGTTAGTCGGCTGTGAAAGAGAATAAGTCGCTAAATTGGAAGGTGGTCTGAATGAAATTTTGGAAGGTGTTGAATCACAGTGTTGGGGAACACTGCATTCCACGAATCATTGCATAAGCCTCGGTCCAATCGGCTAGCTCTATGAGTTGAGCTAGTATCTCCCCCGAACCAAGTAAAACGTGGACCCGAAAACCCCAAGTCCGTCAAACAAGCCTTATTCATCCAATCCAGGAACTTTTTACAGCGTCTGAAATCCCTCGCTGAGCAGACGCCATATTTCTCCATTGGGGAAGAGATTGCATTGAAGTCCCCTGTGATAAACCATGGAAGATTCCAAACCTTACTGAAGTTGATGAGATGATCCCACAGAAGGGAATGATACTTGTATTTGGGGCTGCCATAGATGCTGGATAGAATCCAGCTTTCGTGACCATCTTTCTCCACTTTGACAGTAATATGCTGCTTACTGGCACTCAGAGGGATCACCCTAAAATCAGCGGATTTCCAAGCTAACCATATACCACCCGATCTTCCATCCGCGTCAACGCGAATGACTTCATCATATCCCAACTTGCTACAAACTGTGTTAGCCTTATCTCCACTGATCTGAGGCTCCAAAATAATCACGAAATCGAGTTTATGAGTATCCCTTATCAGGCGAATGGCTCTTCTGAATTTCATACTACCTGCACCACACACATTCCAGGATAAAGTTTTAAAACTAGTTTGATAAACCATAAATAAAAACAATCAAAGAAGGGGGAGAGAGAAGCGGCAAGAGAGGGTCGGGGATTAAGTATTCGTGGGGCTTGAAGGCGCCTTGGCCTCTTCTTGAATTGCATCGGTCGGGGCCTCCTTTATCATCGTTTCCCCCATCGCCACATCCCCTGAACTCGCCCCGCTGAGATTTTCTAGGAGTTCCGCCAGTTTTTGGAAGGTATTGCAGCTCCACCTTCCCTTTCCCCTTATACTTCCCCTGATTTCCCTGAACCATCCCCTTGTTCTGCTCCCCCTTTCCTTTTATGCCCTGATTCGACTTCCCGATTTCATCCTTCCCCTTTCCTCTAGTTCCTCCCAAATTAGCGCCCCCTCTTGATTCTTTCCTGAGATATTCCCCTGATAGTTCGGCTGATCTGGCACTGGCTTCCTATTGTGACGTTTCGACTTCCTGACGACCTGCATCCAAGGGCCATACTCGGCGGGAATTTCCGGCGACTCTTTCACCGGCGAGGAGTTCTGCAATTGATCTGGTGCCGCCATAATGGTCAGAGGAGGAGGTGGTTACTTCAAAGGACACGACTCCTCCATGTGCCCTATTCGCCCACATGAGTAGCATATCGTCGGAAGGTTTTCATACAAAACTTGTTGCCATGCTCCATCAAGCCTGATGCGCTTGGGGAGGGGTTTGCTCATGTCCAGCTCAATAGCTATACGAGCAAACTTACTCCTCTCAAGATTTTCTGTGTGGTAATCCACTTTAACTGTCCTGCCGACGAGATTGCCAATAGCAAAAAGAATTTCCCGGTGATAGAAGTGAACAGGCAGTTCGGGAAGTTGAACCCACGCCACCATTGACCGATAGGGTTTATCGGAAGTACGGAAGGCCGGCGACCATTGATGAACCACCAGTAGTGATCCAGAATGACCCAAGGACCTCCAGTGAGGGCTTTCAAGTAATCCTGATCATTCCCGAATGTCTCGAGGAAAGTATCGTTGTTTAAATCCACAATCTCAAGCGAACCGATCGGTCTCCACATCCAGCGAAGTTGTGAACATAAGTAGGAATAGGCCACCAAGCGACCCAACAATCGAACAACAAGCATCTTTTTCCAGGGTTGGCAGAGTCTTTCCTTGAGATTTTCCGATAGTTTCAGCTCTGGTTCGCCTTGAAAAGAGCCCGTCTCCAAAACTTTGTTCCTACGAAGGTCCATTGGGGTCTCGATCTTGATGTTCTTGATGCATTCCCAGCCAAAGCTGCTTTAAAGTTCATAGGTTGTGTCGATCGCTCACTCAATGATGGATCCTCCTCCTGTGAGGAGGGAGCTGAACCATTAGGCGGCCGTCCAGACAGGCCTGGGTTCGTCGCTGATGGTGAAGAGACGAGAGTATTCAGAGAGAGCATTTCAGAGAGGTTCCCTGTCACTCGAAATATTTAAATCCATTTTGCTCACTAACTTTACAAAAACCGTTCATTTATGGTCACTCTCCGTTAGCTGCCGTCCAACGCCGTTAACGCCTTCCGTTAAGTGATGACGTGGCTGACGGATTCGCCTAATTATCACCTTTTAAGCCGAAAATTGACTGACCCGACCCGCCACGTCATTTAAACCCTCCATGTCAGCCAAACCTAACCAAACCTCTAACCAAACCAGACCAGACCCGACCCCTAAATAAAGAACTGACCCGACCCACCAATTAATCTACACAGTCTCCTCCGCGAGCACATCGTCCCCGGCCTCTTCGCCATGAACTACCTCCGCAAGCTCGCCTTTGGCACTAAGGTCGAGACTCTCACTCCCGGCAAATGCATCACCGTTACCTCGAGCTTCTCCAAGAATTTCACTGCTGGTCCCCCCTCCGCAGCCAAGATCTTCATCGGCGACGTCGAGATCACTCGTCCAGATATGTTCAACAACGGATTCCTCGTGATTCACGGAATCCAAGGCTACATCGTGCCTCTCTCCTCGTTCTCCTGTGACGTCGAGCGTCTCAATTCGCTCACGTTCCCGTTCCAGCAGCCATATCGCGTCCCCGTTCCCGGCGGACCGAACCCGATCTCTCCGCCGCTGGTCCAGCCCGCGGTCATGCGATTGATGATGCGAGACGCGATTCTCCGCCTATGCAACAACGGATTCAACATCCTTGCTCTGGCTTATTTCTGCAAATGCTAGGAATGGAACAACGGGGGCTCAATCGTTCGTCTTCGTGTTGGCAAAACATGATTCAGAGTTAACTGCAGTGGGACATGTTATACTGGAAGCTCACAATTCTGTTTCTTTGATTGGAATTGCAGACACAGTTATTAGGTTGTTTGACCCTGGTGGAATTGGGTTGTTGAGTGAGCCCATTGTTGTTGGATCAACTCACAAGCTCTATTTTCCATTTGATCTTAAGGTTGGTGCCAACTACTGTTATATTGTGGTGTCTAAGGGAAGTGGAGATTGTCCCAATTTTAAAGGGCCGTATAAGGATTGGGAATACTGTGGTAGTGAAATTCCGGAGGTGGATGTTGCTGCTATTTCCATAATGCTCTTGGTAGGTGGAATAGGACAGGAAGAGGGGTTGGTAAAGGAAGGCATAGGCTATAGACTTGTTTGGGTTCACCTTCTGGGTTCCGTGCTTGCTGCAAGGCTAGCTGTAAACACAATGATGAAGTTACTTCCATTCAAGAGATGCTGGTTGTTGTTGAATATGAAGAGTTTACAGCTTAGCACAAGAACACTTCAACAGCCTAATTGCAATGGAGCTGAGGCCTTCTATAAAGCTTCAATTACATTCTTGAACTCTTGCAAAGAATTGTCAATGTTTCAGCAAATGGTGATGGAGCAACCTATGAGCAATTCTAGATCGTGCCAAGGAGCAAACAATAGGCCTTGTAGCTGCTTTTGCTACTGTTTCTCTATATGTTCTCAGTCCATTCCATTGTCTTCTCATGTGTCTTTGTTGGTTGTTTGTTACTTGGCTACACTTGAGGACAAGTCTACTCTCAAGGGGTTGGGAGTTGTAACGAACCAATGTAAGGGTAGGGGTTGTAATGTGAGTTAGTTTGGGGAGCAATGTGTAATTAGTGTGTCATATAAATGGGGCTGTGCTGTATGGAGAAAGGCATCGAGAATCAATTACAAAAGTCCCTTTGTTCCTTCCCTGCTTTCCTCTCTGCTTCTTCTCCTTTCTTCTTCTCCCCTAATTCTCTAATCAATTCCATAGTCTGTTCAATTAACTCGCCGGGAAAGTTCCAGCTTCTCTGGATCGTACTCCTACATCAGCAGCGTGAGGTTTCACATCGTTCTGAACCAACTGTTGACCATCGCTGACCTGGAGCGACTCACCATCGGATGCACTCTGCCGACTCTAGAGAGCGGCCAGTCTCTGGTGGTTACCACAGCGGCGGCCGCCGCTTCTTCTGCATCCTCCGACTGTGCTCCTAAGTCAGAGAAGGACGGAAGTTGCGCTATGGTGCCTGTCCCCCCGGTGAAGGCGACGCTCGAGGTGGAAGACAATCACTATTGCCTGTGAATGGAGCCTTAGGTGAAGCAGGAGTAGCAGGAGTGGAGAAGCAGAGTTATGGCTTTAGGGATGGAGGCACATGGATTTGTCTTCGATTAGGGTTTTAGTCAAAGGTGGGTAGATTAATTGGTGGGTCGGGTTAGTTCTTTATTTATGGGTCGGGTTTGGTTAGAGGTTTGGTTAGGTTTGGCTGACATGGAGGGTTTAAATGACGTGGCAGGTCGGGTCAGTCAATTTGTGGGTTAAAAGGTGATGATTAGGCGAATCCGTCAGCCACGTCATCACTTAACGGACGCTGTTAACGGCGTTGGACGGCAGCTAACGGAGAGTGACCATAAATGAACGGTTTTTGTAAAGTTAGTGACCAAAAATGGATTTAAATATTTCAAGTCACCAAACATGAACGCTTTTTGTAATGTTAGTGACCAACCATGCAATTAACCCCTTTTAATAATGATATTAAAAACCATTAATAACAAATGGGCAAGTCACTAATAAAGAAATAGACTTTTGTTGATAATAAAAAAAACATTAATAAACACCTTAATAACTAACATGTGTTTAATGGATAATGCAACCAAAAACTTTGATAATAATAGCAACTAATGATTGTGAAGTACCTTACTAGATATTATTAATATCTTGCTTTTCAAACTTTGATAATGCTTATACACACCATTTCATAATTTAGACTAAAAGGTTAATAACCATAGTTATATCATTAAACATAAATTTACTTTTTCTAATGTCATAAACAACGAATACCTTACTATTATGCTTCTTAATAATGACATTTGATAAAGTTACAAACATAAATGAAAAATATTAATAATACAAATCGTTGACTGAAAATGAACTGTTTTATTGTCAAATAAAAACAAATCACTAAATATAACCAATGTTACAAATGAAATAAATTGTTGCTAGTGGTTGTATGTGCTTGTAAAAAACATGGATAATAGCACTTCAAATGATTATAAATCATTGCAAACTAATAATCAGTGTTATCAAAGCCGAGCCGAGTCGGCCGGCCGGACCGTCAAAACCGCCACCCGGCCGCAAAACCGGCTCGACTCAGCTATTTAGCCGGAACGGTTTCTTGGGGCGGTCGGAGCGGCCGAAGCGGTTAACCGCTCGGGCCGCTCGAGCCGTTCGTCCGGCTTTTTCCTTTGGGCCGGTGGGTTTAATTAAAAAATGAAAAAAAAATGAAAGGGGTGGGTCGGGTTGTCTGAAACCCACAACCCTTATTCAAAAACAAAATCGTCTTCGTGCAGATTGAAGGAGGCGCCGCTTCCATCGCCAGTCCAAATCGTCGTTCCCTGCCACCATCGCCTGCGCCAGTCCCCCGTCGCCTGTCGTCATTGTCGTCGTTCCCCGTAGGCCGCTCCCCACTCGTCGATTTGGGGAAACCAACGACAAAGCCAGTCTCCCGTCTCAAGTGAGTCGCCGCTGGGGTGGGTGGAAGAAGGGGCGCCGCTGCTGGGTTGAAGGAAAGAAGAAGTAAGAAAAGAAAGAATTGGAGAGAGAGGGGAAGTGACGGCCGCTAAGGGTGTAGGTGGGTGGGAGTAGGGGTTTTTTTTTTGTTAGTTAATATATATATGCAATGTAGTTTTACAAAATGGTAACTAGTAAATTTTATTTAGTCATTATATTGTTAAATTATTATCTTTATGTGTCTTATACTTATGATTTTATCATTTATATAAGGTATCGGTTCTCTAACGATTTTATAACGGCTCAATGTCGGTTGGACCACTAAAGACCGAGCCGTTCAGATTATCGGGTCATGCTCCGGTTCGGCTCTGACAACATTGCTAATAATACAATATAATAGTGAATGAACAATTGAAAGCATAATTTAACCTTTTCTAAAAAACCAAAAAATAAAAAATTTAATAATGCCATATAATATTATTAAAAAACCTCTCGAACAACATTAATAATAACACAAACGAATACCTAATAATGAAAAAATCCTAAACCCACGCAACAAAAAGTCCCAATGATGATTCATTTTATAAACGTTGATAATGTCGTTACAAAATGTTAATACTACATTGCAAGTTGTCACGATGTGAGAGATCGGATATATTTTAAATTTCCATTTTAAAAAAGAAAAATTATTAAATTCGAGTTTTATTAAATAATAATATTAAATTAATTTCGTATTTCCTTTTATTTATAGCATAGAGAGAGGGTTATGGAGAATATCATGGGAGGAGCGAGAAAAATAATCATTAATTAGTAATATTAATTATATTTTCAATACCCCATTTATCCTTAACTACCTATTAACTACTAATCTCTATTAACTACCTAATACACTATCAGCCAATAAAAAGGTTTTAAGATTCTTATTAAGGAATTAGGCTTAACGACTAGAACTTAGACCTTTCGCTGGTGGGGTCGAAGTCAAATGTCGTCTTACCATAACTAAGTTGAAGAGAGTAGAAGAACTGACAATTTTGATCTTCGGTCGGATTACTTTTACTTACGAAAATATTTATTTCCTTCATTTTGAAAATAATACATAAAAAGCTAAAACTTTTTTATTATTTCACTAACAATTTTAGCTTTATATATAATAATTCCATGGGCGATTCTATGGTGCCGTCAATGAGTCTGGCCAGGTCAGATATTACTGGTTTGGTGGAAATCATGGTCCGTGTCTGTGTAGGTAATTAATAAATAAAAGAAAAATAAAAGTGAAAAAACAGAAAAAATCTATTAACAACTCAGGAACTCAGGATCCATGCCTTCCCTTCCTTCTTCGTTCTTCTTCTCTTTTTTCATTCCCTAGTGAAGAAAGCTGACTACTCCAACTCCAAGTCATCACCTACACCAACCTTGTTGCCGTCGGTCGGCCACTAAAAGTTTGACTCCAATCCTTATTTATTTTTCTACTTATTTCTTATTTTCCCATTTAAATGAGAAGAAAGTATACTCCTCCATTGATCCAAGTCAACACTGTCGCCACCGTTGTTGCCGCCGGCCGGAATCAACACCCAGATCATGAATCCCTCGCGCTATCAGTCCAAACCTTAATTGATTTGGGATGAAAAGGGATTTCCGGCTGGTGGTGAGATCAAGCTTTGCCATTGAGGGATTCCGGTTGAGAAGTTTGTCTCATTTGATGTGATCAATCAAGACGAAGATGATGGTGAAAAACATAACTGTTCTAATACCCCTATTTTTCTGATACCTCTGTTCCATGGAATCAACTTTTTACGTTTTCTTTTTGTTTTGGATAAAAAAAATATATAATTGTACTTAATAATTTGGGAAAAAGAAATGGTCAAACCGAAGACAATAGGTTCAACCGATTTTTGGTTAAGTAATATATGTAAATTAAAGGGCATGATTTAATATAAGTATATCCAACGGTTAAAGTTGTATCGGCACCAATGTCGCGCCGGTACCACAGAAGTTGCGTAATTACTAATTCCATTAAAATGAGTTTTTTATTAGGGATGTGCTATTGAGGTCATGGGTATTTTCTGTCGCGAGTCTATTTATATATTCTATTTCAGAAAAATGTGTACAATTGAACATATTTAAATTGCTTTTAATTATTGTATTTCGTTGGTAGGGGCAAAAGTCAAATGTCGTATTACCATTACTCAAATTACTCAACTCAAATGAAGAGAAAAAATATTTGAACATTTTGATCTCCTATAGAAATTTGTACTTAGAACAATATTTATTTTGTCCTTTTCAATAAATGACTAACAACTTTTTTAAAATATGGGTATGTCTACGGTGACATGCATGTCACCGTAACTTGTACTTTTTGGTCGATCTAATCCTAATAGAGGTCGACCGAATAGACTAATGTGGGCACCCTAATGACTTATCACGGTCGACCTTTAAAATGCAGTGGTCGACCGTTTGTAGTTTAAGTTGTCATTGTTGGTCGAGCACAATAAAACATCAATCGCCCTTTTCATTGTCGTCAGAAGCAAAATGGTCGACCGTAAATGTACATAGGTCGACCACTTAATGGCGGTCTTTAACAAAATGGTCGACCATTTACAGAAAGAAGTCGACCAGATAGCATAGAAGTATGTATCCATTTATCCATTATCATTTGACGTAAATTGATGATCAAGTGTTGGTTTCGCGGTCAACCTAATCCGGTACGAGGTCGGCCGAATATAGGAAAATCAATCTATGTCCTGCATCTTTTTTGCTTATGTATGTCGATGTGGGTGGTTCTTTTGCTCGTACAAATTACATTTTAAACCAATAAAATCAGTCATAAATAATGATAACAAGGACTCATAAATTCATAACATAATAACTAAACAAATTAACAAGAAATACGATAAAACACAAATCATAATTGTTCACACATAACTAAAATCTAAAACCACATAATATCAATCCACAATCATTTTTAACACTTAACAATATAAACACACAATCTAAAATCGTCGAGTTCCTACTCCTGTCCCCTTTCTCCCTTATCAACATTTTCTTCATTGGTGTTGCTAGCATTATGGTAGTCGGATGTGGTGGGATGCATGTATCTTTCACTGAAAGATCGAAACTCATCTCGCATCTCATTCACGGTCACCTGCAGTGTGCTCATCTGCGTGGTCATTTGCCCCATGTAGTCGACTTGTCGTACATGCCAGTCATCTGGGTGGAAATCTGGCCCATGTAGTCATACATGTCATCCATGCGCTTCCCAAAGAGGTCGACCATTTGCTATAAAAGGTCAACCGCGACTTTGAACCTCACAAAACTGAAGCGACATATTAGGTCGACCTAATCCTATATAAGGCCGACCTCAAAGTGCAGATTAGGTCCACCTAATCGTATATAAGGTCGACCTAAAAGTGCAGATTAGGTCCACCTAATCCTATATAAGGTCGACCTAAAAGTCACCGTAGCAAAGTCCGTGTTTGTTTTTCTGCCCTTCTTAATATAAGAGTACGTTTAGGGCTCAAGATAGGGTGCATAACCCATGATTATGCATCCATCAATAACTAAATCGGGACCCTTCATTCAAAAAAACCAAATATAAGGATGGAGAATTAAAGGTCATTTTTATTTTCCCTTGTTTTCTTAATTGGCTCATATCTTCTTTGTTTTAACTCGGATTTCAGTTTTTTTTTTTTTTGCACAGATGGAACAAGTTCGTTGTGCTCTACAAAGCGAGATCCATTTTCAATATTTTTTGAGGAAAAATTTCTTGCCTCTCGATACCAACTGCATACCATATGTAATTCATTTTTGAAAACATTTGCACAGAAGGAACGACTTCATCATGATCTATTGGATCTACAAATTTCTAGGTGAACAAATTACAGGACCAAAAAATACCACACAATACCACCCTGGTACGAGGTGGTATCTTGTGGTATACAATGTTAAAAGTCTTAAATGACAGTTAATATACTTCTACTATCATGTATTCAACCATCCTACAGTCTTGGTTTGTTCATACTACCATGGTACACTTTTCAAACTATAGGTATGCTCTTATTTCGATACCAGTCAATACCATATGGTATAGACTGGTAAAAAATTATTCAATTTTTTTTGTTCCAAAAATATATCAAAGTGGATATCATTTTGAAGAACACAATTAATCTGATATAACTGTGCAAAAAAATTATATTTCGACTTAAAACTAGTGAGAAATCGTCCATCAAAGATTAGGGGGGGGGGGGGTTTAAAGGCTTTTCAGGAGAGAGTAGAGGCGCTAATGTGGCGGATGGTGATTCGGTAATGCATTGTTATTGACCGGATCTGCTCCCGTACGTTTAGATTTTTGGCATCACTATAAAATACTAGAAATCTATAATTTGAAAGTATATATACATAAAAAAATTTGAATTATTGATTGGGTATATTTGAATATGTGTTTAGTACGTAAAGTATCAAATAAATTGTTAAAAGAGAGACGACACTATAATAGAGCGAGAGTTTCAAATGCATTTAGTACTTATTCGAGGTATTAAATTAATTTTGCTAACTATGAATGACAAACATGTGACATCCACATCATTAAGTGCTAACAAAGCTCTATGGTGAAAAGATAGGACTATTGATACTAACAATCAATCGATCAAAATCTGTCTATCATTTTAAAATTTCATAATTTCTTTTAAAATTTCAAATAAATCTCTAGAAAATTATCATTTTAGCAAATAAGGTACTAAAAAACAAATCAATGAGAAATTAAATACACATAGAAGAATCAATACTCACCTCGATTATCCACAAATGAAACTCACAAGCTAAAGTCATAGACCCTAATCGAAATCGTAGCCAGAGCAAAGCGTGGAAACATATCTAGTTATTATTTGAACCTTATTAGCTGCCTCTCATTTCCTTTTTGTTCAAGCGCTAATCCAGCAATATTAAACCATCATTATTTTGCTATTTTAAGGCGGATTAATTTGTTTCACCCCTAATTTATGTTCATTCCATTGACTGTGAGTGTACTGCACTTAAAAGAGGTGAATAGTACTGTTGATGGTGTATTTTTGCTAAGGTCGATTGTGCATCAAGGGCAAGATTTAATCTCTTATGATAGAAATTTCTAGCACCATAGTCGTGCATTTTTTGGTTGGTCATTTTGCAGGTGCTCATTTGATATGAAAATAATTGAAGGAAGAGTCGATATAGCAGGTGATAGTTCACTTTTATTCGCTTTTATAAATTTATGAGAGTAATTAAGCATGCTCTATCGAATATTGCTAATGTCGTTTTCTTTTATTTGTTTTGGTTTTTTGTGGCAACTCGATACTGGTCATCCGGCATACTCCGTCGAAAGAAACTACACTCGTTGGCGGGACTATCTTGGAGATGTTGTATTTTTATTTTTCCTTTTTTTTTCGTCAGTGTCGTGTCTTTGCTCCTCGGAGCTTCTTCAGAGCTGCCCATGTATTGGCTTATCAGGATCTTTCATCGTTGCTGGTTGCATACAGACTAATGCGCAGTGTTCGAGTCGGTCTGTAATTGTGTCGAGTCTTTGTCCCATACCTTTTGAGCTCGCCTTGAAGAAAAAAAAAACAATTCTCAAAGTAACTAACGAATCAATAAATTGAACTACATACGACCAAAGAATCACACGGAATTGCGAATAGTCAAAAAGTAACGTGAAACCATAATTGAGAAAAGAGCAAATTTATAGTATTGACCACTTCATCGGCCTTTAAATAAGCCACTTCCCTCTCCTCACATTATAACCAATAGTCCAACAATTACATTACAGTTTCCTATTCTGTGGGCATAATTGTAGACCTAACAAGTCTCCTTGAATATAACTCCACCATACAATAACATACAAACTTTTAAAACGAAATGCAAACTCGAATCTCGTTGAGAAATAAAAAAGCCATCATAAACCACAAAAATTTTGATAATAATTGAGAACGAAAAGGATCCAAAAAAGTTCATAGAATTATGAACAAGGAAGAGGATCAAAGACCATGGGCTGATATATGTCCAGATCTCTTGGATTCCATCTACAACAGAATCTCGTCGCATGTTGACGGTACTCACTTCGGCGACGTATGCAAGAATTGGCACAAAGTCCACTCTCACATGGTCCTTTTCAATCGCCGACCTGTGTTGATCAAGAAAAGAAATTTGTACAGCTCGGACGTCATGCAAGTATGGGAGGGTAATCGACTTCTCCTCCAACGATGTCGTGAATCTCAAATCCCATATTGCCTTGCAGATGTAGACATAAGGATCCTTGGGACGGCGGGTGTGTGGTTGCTTATAAAAGTGCGTGATGCTTTTTTGGGCTGGTACAATCCTCTACTCCGATGTCCTGCAAACTACATCAGTCTTCCCAACCCGAGTTGGCGTTTTTGCACCAACGACGACCATTACAAACCGGACACAATACTCAAATTTGCTTTCTCAGCACTACCCACTGCTCAGGACTCATCAATGCTCGTGGTGTATGGCGATCGCTATTTCAGCATGTTTCGTCGTGGAAAAAATGTTGAATTTAAGCAAAAAACATATGATTTCTCCTTGGCTGTGAAAAAAGTACAAACATGCCTCGGCGTGGGATACAAAGATGGTAGATTCTTTTGTTTATTTGAAATGGGAGATATGTTGATTTTTAGCATCGACGAGAATGACACCAGGATGTTGTTGGCTGCGACTAAGCCTCTGCTTTCCGAACAACTCCAACGATGGGACAGTTTGACTGTAGTGGCGATTGTGGTGGCCAAAATAACCAGAGCTGCAAATTATCAATACCATGAGGTAGAAGAAGTGATAGGGTTTAGGCTTGTCACTCGTTGGGAGCGAGATCGTGAGGGGAGCTTCCGGCTAGTAACATCGGAGGAAAATCTTATGACATCGACCGATCTATTATTGGAGAATAACAATGATAATGACTTGGAGGAAAACAATATAACAGGAGTGATTTTAGTGAAAGACCCATTGCCATTGAAGAGGAATTTCGACATATATTATTGGTACATATTGTATGCTCTTTTTTTCATACTAGTCTTGTGTTTTATGGTTTGGATTGCCTTTTTGTTCCAAACGTAGAGTAAGGAAGGGGTGCATTGCGTGTCATTATTATTATTATTATTATTATTATTATTATCATTATTACTTTTTTTGGTCGAATAAAATTAATGTTGATGACGATGGAGGCGCACTGTTTTAACTTCTAAAAGTGGAGAATTTAGCAAATCCTCCGATACTAAATACCGTAGTTCGAAGAACTTCAGTAACACACAATTGAAGATCTTTCATCACCAACATGGTTTGCTGATATGAGAAGCTCTGATGTTTCCCCTTCTTTCGTGGCTTGGTTGCAGGTAAGAGTTTTACAACTCTCTCACTAATATATTGGGTTTAATTACCATAAAGCAGTCACTAAACTTTGGCATCACTTACAAATTGGGCACTACAATTAATTCTGAATAACTTACAAAATAGTCGCTTTTGTCCATTCCTTTCAAGTTTTTTATCCAAATTATATGCCCCGATTAATATGTCAAGGGGTAGATTGCAAGTTTGGTCATATGTGGCGAGATCGTGAGGCGAGTGACAAGAATAGCTTCCGACTAGTAGCGGTGGAGGAAAATGCTATGAGAATAACAAATTTATTATTAGAAAATGACGAGGATTGTGAAATGGTGTCATTGGAGGATGGGGACAATAGTAAGGGGATGATTTTAGTGAAACACCCATTGTGCTTGAAGAGGAATTTCGACCAATTTTATGCTTTCACATTGTCCATTGTTGCTCCACTCTTTGTATGTTATATTGTGTTTTGGATTACCAATTTGATCAGCGGTTCATTGATCTATTAATAAGACAAATCACGTGGAATTACGAATGGGAAAAAAATAACATGGCTATATAATTATAATGATCACTACTGTTCCATTGTTTGCTTATACGATTGTTGCTTTATGCATGTAACAGTACATATTTGATCTTCTTTGTTTATCCTCATCCATAGACTTGGATTTAGTTGTAAGACAAGGATACTATTGCAATTTGGTGGATTTTCTTACAACACCATCCAACTTGGACATGAGACCCTAAAATACTACAAGCGTTGGAACGATTTTGTGAACATATTCGTTAATTGATTCGAAGAAAAAAATAGTGTGTATTACTTTTATGCTACGTGGTGTTGCAACTTGCAATTTTGAAATATGCAGTAGGCTTTTAATTAATTGGATTATCAATTAGCTCAATGGCGGAAATACTATCACAATATACAAAGGTACAAGTGGAGAGGAAGTAATATCTAAATCACAATAGACATTAAGTTTCTAATGCGAAGTCAAGTGGAGGTTGAGGAGAAGAAGTCAAACATGAAGGTTGTGAAGGAATAACAGTTTCTGGAACTTTCATACAAGGAAAATTAGTAGACATAATCACGCCAATAACGTTATGTTCTAAAGTTAGGCATATTGTGGGCTAAGGTAGAATTTAGAAGCAAGTGAAAAACAACCATATTGTTAGAAACAAGATTGGTTGGTCTTGTTCTTAGGGATTGATCTGGGATGGAAAAGAATTGAAATGGGGAAGGAGTTGGTGAAAACTCAAAATATGAGATGCATTCAACAAGAGATTTTGAGTGTATCTTTTCTTGGATGATTTCTTGTAAAGAAAAGAGAAATGATTTTATTGATTTGCAAATAGAGTTTAGACTACAGAGTGAACCCTAGCCAAGCCAAGTGACTTGGCCCTTTGAGAAAAACAACACTCAACACTCCTACTTCCCAAGATTCGAATCACCCAGTACACTCCCATACACTGTGATTCAATCTACTAAAGCAAATACATTCATGGACCCAAAGTAGAAGAGTTTTAAGACCCAAAATCTCTCACTACAGACTGCCAAATTGTTACTGAGCAGAAGGCTTACAATTTATAGTGTGAATAGCATATGACTGTTGCCTAATCAGGAGCCTTCCATAGTCTTCATCATTCATCATCATAGAGACGGTGCTAGGTGGAGCAGGCTCTAGAAAGTCGAAGCTTCTGCTGAGAGAGGACGATCGAGAGAAGGAAACAGGGAGATCATCAATCGAGGAGTCCTCTCTTGAAGTGCTCTCTTGACTTCGATGGACGATGTAGCGAAACGACATCGTTGCGAGGTTCGTGAAACGACATCGTTGTGAAGTGCTCCGTTTTGATGGATAGCACGTCGTTTCAGGGCCAACAGTTGGGGTTTGAGGGAGAAGATCAGAAGAAGGAAAAGGGGATTAGGAAGAAGAAGGAGTCGACGACTATCTTGGACAGAGGGAAAAAGAATCAGATGTGGGGGGAGAGGGAATTAGAGATATGTTTAGTTTTTTCTTGATAATAATCTGCTTCATGAAAATAATCCTCGGTTTACAGAATATAAACCCAAAATAATTACCCTTTGCTACTCAAAGAATAACTCTTAACCAGAATAGGCCAATAATGTTTAAAATCCCCAAAAAGAATAAATAGGGCTAAAATCCCTAATTAACCAAATCCGTAGATAAATCCCCAACCCCCCCCCCCCCCCAATGTTTCTAATATTCCTCCCCTCTTAAGACCAATCATGCCGTCAAGATTGGGTCTCGCCTCGTTCTTCTCCGCGGTCCACTTCTCCACCTCATCCTCCTAGCGCCCAATCAGCATCATCATATCCGAATTTGCGCATTGATGGCCAAACATGAACCTCTCATTGCAGTTGAAACATTTCAATTTCCACCTCTTCTACTCGATCTCCGCCAGTGATAGCTTGACGAACCCTTTTGGAAAAGCTTGTAGGTCGGGTGGGACCGCCCCTGGTGCGGCACCCATGAAAGTGGTTGTCCCTCCTACTCCTCCTGTCACTCCGTCAACCCCAATGCCGGGGACGCCTCCACTCTCTCCTCCACTTGGCCTCTGGTAATGCCCAATGGTGTTTAGCGATATCCTCCTCCTTTCATCTTGCAAGACGAAAAGCAGAACGCAAGGTATCCAGTTCAAATACCTTGACATCAGTTTTGCTCTCCGGACGCACTCCCGCCATGCACAACCCCACTAACATCTCCTATGTAACGCCCTTGCACATGTTCCCAAATTCGAAGAACTCGGATCTGTAATCAACCACCAATTGGGTCTGCCTTAGCTTAGCCAGCTACTCCGGAGCCCACCCTTCCGATTTCCCGAACTGATGTCGGAGCTCCTCCTGGAACCTCGTCCATGTGATCAATGTGTATGTCGCATCATAAGACTGCTCTAACCATTCCCACCATTGCAGGGCATCGCCCTCCAAGTAGTAAGACGCAGGTGCGCTTTTCTTTCCTACTTAGTGTGATGGTTCTTTTTTTTCTTGAACCACCTGTCAGCAGCATACAACAACAATCCTGCATCCTCCTGACCATTGCACTTAGGAAATTCAATGGTCGGCGGTCTCGCTCTAAAAATCAAGTCATCATCACCATCATAAGCAAAATAAGGCCTACCATACCTGCCTCCCTCATAGTCGCCTTGGCGACTCAGGTAGCTGTCACGGTGTGGCTGTGGTAACGCCCAACGACCATCTTCATCAAACTGATCCCCCATGCCTCCTCCAAAACCTTATCCCACTTCCCAGCTACGCCCCTGTGGCATGTCTTCGAGTTCAGGTGTAGTCCACGTCAAGTAAGGACCCCTGTAAACACCCCTGCCTCTATTCCAGGGTTCATTTTGACCCCCATCTGCCCCACTACTAGCTGTTGTCCTAGTCACCCTTGACCGGTTCGGGTCTATTTGGCATGGCCAGACCTCGATCAAACCCATACCAGTTTGACCGGTTTCGCTTCACTCGGTTGGATCCCTCTCACGATTGAGTTGCGGGCCCAGACGACTCATGTCATCTTCCAAGCACGCTGAATCGTAGTCCGACATCTTGGCCTTGGCCCGGATTGCCGCTACCTCTTCGACCATCGAAGTCGGCAACAGGCCTGCAGCTGCATTGGAACCGCTAGAACCTTGGCCCGCACTCCCCACTGTTGTGGTCGCCACAGCTTCGGCCGTGTCTCCGCCACCCACGGCGTTGCGTTCTCCGTCAACAATCGATTACGCCTTCGTCGGTGCCTCCATAAGACCTAACGCAGCGAGCATTCGTTGTTGCGTTATCTAGATCTCCTCAAGCGTTGCGTTCATCTTGGCAAACCCTTCCCACGGCTTCGAGTTCTCTGCGGCCAGCTTCCGTTGTTCTTCCTTCAGCGCGTCCATGTCCGTCATATCTTCGACCTCGCATTCCCGCGGTGTAGGACCAGCCCCCTGCACCGCCTTCTCCTGGGCTTCCTTCTCTGCAGCCTTTTCAGCTGCGGTTTGTAACTTGGTTTGCACCATTGAATTTCTTCGAATCGTTCCTGGAGTTGTGATAAACTCGATCTTGCAACCAGGCTCTGATACCACTATTAGAAACAAGATTGCTTGATCTTGTTCTTCGGTGTTGATTTGGGATGGAAAAGAATTGAAATGGGAAAGGAGTTGGGGTTTGAGGGAGAAGATCAGAAAAAGGAAAAGGAGAATAGGAAGAAGGAGTTTTCGGCTCTCTTCGGAAGAAGGGAAAAGAATCAGACGTGCGGCGAGAGGAAATTAGAGGAGATAGGCTTAGGTTTTTCTTGATAATAATTTTCTTAATGAAAATATTCCTCTTTTTACAGAAGATAAACTCAAAAGAATTATCCTTTGCTATCCAAAGAATAACTCCTAACCCGAATAGGTCAATAATGCCTAAAATTCCAAAAATGAATAAATAGGGCCAAAATCCCGAATTAACCAAATCTCTAAATAAATCCCAAAACCCCCCAATGTTTCTAACACATAACCTCATGCTTCAATATTGCCTTTAGAGGCTCTTGGTAAACCAATATGCTTTGTTCAAAGGAACGAAACAAAATCAACATACATCATCACAGGCTAACATGCAGTGTTTTAACCCTGTTTGTTTTCCTTTGAGTTAGCGGGCAAAGGAAAAAATATAAATCGGCATTGCAACAACCACTCGACCGGTTGCTTGGTCTCGATCAAACGGGCTTGTTTAGGTGACACACATGAAATAAATGGATAAATCGAGTGACCAATCATATAATTCACCCATGAAAATGTCAATATGTCATGGTGGAGAATTATAAGAAGAAAAATATCAAACTCTATACTTAACTACTTAAGTCACATATGAATTGGATGGTGACAAATCACTTATATCTCTCATATCAAAATCGGCAATTAATTCTAATAATATATGTAGTATGCAAAATGTACAGGCAAATAATCAACAAAATTTCAATGTTGTCGGTTTTTTTTTTGTTCTTGAGGTTGGCCATATGTTGAGAAAAAATAAATATTGAGGGTTCATAATTGACTATTATTCTGACATGGGTTGAGTTTTTTTTTATATAAGGACATGGGTTGAGTAACTCAAATCGGTTTCAGTTCGGTTCGGGTTTACCGAACCGGATGCCCACCCCTAGTTGAGTTTAAGAAATCAATTAGAGATAAAGATTTTTATTTAATTATTTATGATATTCTTTGATTTTTCAATATATTATCAAGGTATTTATATCCAATAAAATTGTTTGACCTGTCCATATGAGTAATACACGACGACACTCAAAATTGTTGTAATTTCATTTTTAATATGGCCAACGAGCCAAATTCTAATCTAGTTGACAAAATAATAAGTTCTTATATTGACCAGTTTTTTATATACACTAATACCTGCCATTTCATGAACTTTGAATCAAACACATCTAGACGTGCAATATTCATTGTTCACACACTACTATCCTAGCTAGTAGCCTTATTATTGAGCCGCCCTCTCCTGTTTAGAGGGAATTTTTCTCAAATACACATGTTTTTTATAGGGTTAATATATTTGTATGGGGCATGGCCTGAACTTTTCACATAATAAACATTCTGGCCCAGTGGCGGACTAAGGATTCTTTGATAAGTGTGTCGGCAGACAAAAAATAATTAATAAATTAAATGTATTAAATAAAAAGTAAAATAAAATATTAATTCATTAAGGTGGCAATTTATTATTTTTCACAGTGACACACGATAACTTTTCATATTCAGAAAGGTTTGTAAAATATATTTCACTTATGGTGTGATCAAACTTTTTTTTACGTACAAAAGTAAAAATTCATTCATAAAACTGATTTTGAAGTTCGCTCTTGATTAACTCCATAGCATAAAATGGAAAGCAGGAACGCTGGCGACAGGCGTTAACGTAAAAGTTTGAAAGAGGATGAGGTTCCACCAGCAGGTGCTAGCAATTAGAGAGTGGAGCAGAGGACAGAGAACTGTGAGCCATGGGTTGTGAATTTTTTCCTCTCGACATTTTCACTAAAAATTAAAATAAATAATATATATTTGTGTATTTTGGTACCTATTGCTATATGACATCAAAATCAATGTAGTGTATTAAAGGTGTGTCGATTGCAATTATGTGAGGTGTGTCAGAAATCCCGAATTCAATTTTTTGTACCAACGAAACATGGATCTCTCACAAAATTTCCGAGCCAAGGTGTTTCGGTTGACACACCTTGCTAATGCATGGGTCCGCCCCTGTTCTAGCCAATCTTTTCGATCTATAACATTATGGCCTGAACTATACACCTTTTTTTTTTTACAATGAGAACCTGCTTTTTATACCATAACCCCTCAAGGGAAACCAGTTACATTCTTACAGCAGAGGAGAAATAAGATCGGCAATAATCAACCAATCCAGTGGGAGAGATCCCATCCGTTCATTACATGCCACCCAATCAGCAAGCCTATTGAGACGATGGGGAACAAAATCAATAGAGATCCATGGAGACGAATGGAGGAGTGTAATGATACGTCCCAAGATCGGTCAACATTGCCAAGGCCAAAGGTCAGGAGCAAGCTTCAAGGCACTTGTCAGAATCTGGCAATAAGATCTGATCCAAGTCGAGCAAGCATCCTGAACCGCACACATGACTGCATTAAGAATTGCAAAAGCTTCCATTTGAATAGGACAGGAATAAAAGACTTTCTCAGCCTTGCCGTCCAAAACTTGACCATGGGCATTAGAAATCGTAATCCCATAAGTCGCCTCCTGTGAATCCTCACAAAACGAGCAATCACAGTGAATTATCCTCTGGAAAGGACCTGGCGGTGGTGAAGGATGAGAACGGGATCCCATAGGCTGAGATTACAGTACAGTTGGCCTCTTAGCAGACAGAGCAGAGGTGGAACTTCGCGCTTCCTCTATGGCATGTTAATCTCTATCAGCTAGCACTGCAGAAGAGGTCGGGGAAATGACCTTATCCTCGAATATGCAACCATTGCGAGCAATCTAAATGTTCCATAAGCAGCAGACACTTCTTTTGATAGCCTCCACTGGCAGCGCTTCCCGAAGGTTGAAGAACCATTCTGAGAAGAGGCCTTCCTCGGGGGGAACGAAAGGCGAAAGCTCCATCAGCTCCCAAGTGGCTGTTGCATGGGGGCATGAGAAGAAGCAGTGATAGATAGATTCAATATTGTGGTTGCAGATTGAGCAGCAAGGGTTGGGAGCACATCTTCCATCGAACAGTCGGGATCTCGTAGCAATGGCACCCTTTGCAATCTTCCAAATGAAGAAACGGAGCTTTGGTGGAAGGGAGAGCGACCATAACCATTTCCAGTCATCACCATTAGGAAGTGACTGGACCAACGCCGTAGGCTGCACAAACTGGTCCCTTGATTCCCTCAGAGCTCGATAGGCGGACTTCACCGTGTAAGCTCCCGTCTTGGTAAACTTCCAAACCCATTGATCAGGGGCCTCAGCTGGTCCAATCGGAATGCGCAGGATATCCTGAATCACTCCTTCAGGAACCACCTCTCGCAAACTCTCCACCTTCCATAATCGTTCCTCTTGAAGAATCCACTCGCTCACCTTTGACTGGTTTAGACCTAAGGTGGCAAGGGAGAAAGCAGGGGCAGAAGGTATCCAAGGGTCAGTGTTAAACAATGAATCATTACCTGACATAATACTCTTTAGCAAGCCCAGCTTGAGTCTCTCTTTGGTTTCACAGAGCCCGCTCCATATCCATGATCCATTTCTTCCTTTAGCTGCCGAAAAGAAGACTCCATTGGAAAAATAAAGACCTTTAAGCAGCCTCACCCAAATTGCATCCGTGTTTTGCAACAACCTCCAGACCTGTTTACCAATGAGAGAAACATTGAACAAATGAAAATTTTTGAAGCCGAGTCCTCCTTCCTCCTTCGGTTTTTCCAGGACTTTGGCATCACACCAATGTAAAGATTTTCTCCTCATTGATCCGGACCAGAAAAATCTTTTCAACACCAAATCCATCTTGTTGGTGAGGGAGCGAGGCAGGAGAAAGACACTCATCAGGTAGGTCGGGATTGCCTGAATCACTGCCTTCAGAAGTACTTCCTTTCCGCCCGGTGATAAAAGTAAACTCTTCCGAGATTCCCCCTTTTTCTCCATTCTTTCCAGTAAGAACAGAAAAGTTTCTTTCTTTGAACGCCCCCAACTTGTAGGAACACCGAGATACTTGTCGGGGCAAATAGAAGGTGGAAATCCCAATTTATTTGTGATAATGCTTTTGAGCGCTTCCGGGGTGTTCTTACTGAAGAAAACTGAATATTTATCAACATTGATCTCTTGTCCTGTAATTCCGCCATACTTCTTTAAGATTCTTTGAATGTGATCCACTTCCCTCACACTTGCTTTCTGATAACGATGTAATTGCACATATTTGCGCCCCTAGTTCTTATCCGTTTGAGGGGCATAGTCGTGTATTTTTGGCCTATTTTACGCCGGGTTGTGCTATTTTGTCATATTTCAGGTCCCAGACGTCAAAGGAAAGGCTAAGCACGAGTTTTGGGGCATTCGGAAGTCATTCGGTGAAGCTTGGGACAAAACATGGGCACACCTAAAACAGAACACGGCCATGTTCTGTGGCCGTGCTTTTACTGCCGAGAGCTAATTGAGTTTGGCAAATTCAAGCTGCAAACACGGGCTGAAAGCACGGCCGTGTCCACCAAAGCACGGCCGTGTCCTCCCAAAAGCACGGCCGTGTTTCTCCCAACACAATGGCCGTGTAATTAAACCTAGCCAAAGCACGGGCGGGATGAGGCAAAGCACGGCCGTGCCCTTGACCGTGCTTTGGCCACTGATGCCCTTTTAAGCAGATTTCAGCCAAAACAGAAGGGGATTGGAGTTTTGAGAGAGATAAAACGATTCCTAGAGAGAGAAAGTGACGAACAAGAGTCTCCAAGTGCCCTAGCTTGATCTTCATCACCATTGGAGGCCAGTTTGAGCTTGGAAAAGTGCCGATCAACGTCCAGGAGCAGGAATCCATCCTTCACAGTATGAATTCCGCGTCTGATTCTGCTTTTGCTTCTTTCTCCATGGAGTAGTTCTCCCATTCATCTGGGTATGGAGAACCCTAGATTTGTATGTTAGGTTTGATTGTATGAACCCAAGTACTGATTCTATGATTTGATTATATTCAATTGAGGTTTGATTGATTGAATGGCATGAATCCTGATCAAATTCCTGTTGTTTCTACTTTAACCTAGAATGAGAATATCTGCCTAGGTTGATAGAGCATCCTTGATTGAAGGTAGGGAGTTGGTGACTTTAGTCGAGGAGCCAACTCACTACTCTGTACCAGATTTACTCCGGTAGTGGAGGTTTTGTTTGTTAAGGCCTCAATCTGTTTACTCCGGTGGAGGTTAGTCGCCCGCTAGAGACTCAGATTGAGAGGGTCTGAAGACCTTTAGTCGAGACTTCAGGCTGTTTAAGAACCTTCCGCAGTATAACTATCATAGAAACTGAACTTGGTAATTACAATCCGGCTTAACTGCAGTCTAGGGGGAACCATATCCGGGTGACCTCTCTTAACCTGAATACAACAATTTACTTGCTTTGTTAGTTTGTTAGTTTAGACTTGCATTAAAGTTTCATTACTAGATAACAAGAATTCACCGAGTAGTCATCAAATCTAGGACCCGGGTTGACATTTAAACCCAAACCCGCTATACTATGCTTTAGGAAGTGGTTTCACTTGGCCAATTCCTGGAGCGACAGTAGAAGTGAGTCAAGTTTTTGGGGCCATTGCCGGGGACGGCTAGGTTGTTGAAGAAAAGTGATTTCTGTTAATTTAGCTTTTCTTTCCACATTGTTTGCTTTGTCCCACTTGTGCCTTCACGGGTTTGTTTGCTTGAGTGTGTGCAGGTAATGCATGACCCGTAGCCAGTCGGGAGGTTTACTATCGTTGAATCTAGAGATTGAACACACCTGTCGCCAACTCAGGAGACAACAGCGAGCTAAACTGGCTACGGAAGAGCGCATAGACGACCACCTGAGCAGCGATTCTGAGGAAGAGTACAGGATGGACGGAGATTACAATCAGCACCAGGGGAATCCTCAGTAGGCTCCCCCGGTGAATCAGGTCCTGGGGAACAGCCCCATACCCCAGGATCATGGGGTTCATCATCCGCCGCCGCCGGGCCCCACCTTGGAGTACTACTACACTCCTCGGATTGCTGACATCCGCCCGGTCATCCTCTACCCGCCCAGCAAACAACTTCGAGATCAAGCCATGCTGGATTCAGCTCATTACATCTTCTATCCAGTTCCATGGCTTGAAGGATGAGGAGGCCAGGGTGCATCTTTCCCGTTTTCTGCAGCTGACGAACGGGTTCAAGCTGAATGGTGTCCCGGATGATGCAATCCGCCTTCATCTCTTCCCCCATTCTCTGGCAGGGAATACTAAGAGGTGGTTGGAGACCCAGCCCCCATTGTCCATCACCTCTTGGGACGATCTGGCTGACAAATTCGTGCACAGGTACTATCCGGCATCGAAGACTACAGAGATCCAGCGGGAGATCACTCACTTCCGCCAAGAGCCAGATGAGTCACTTCGTGATGCATGGGAGCGGTACATGGGATATTTCTGGCAGTGTCCCCATCATTGCTTTAGTGATGCATTCACAGTGGGGAACTTCTACAGTGCTCTCTCTCCAGACAGCCAGAGGGTGATTGAGTCTCTATGCCCAGGAGGGGATATTCTTACTAAGACTCCACCCAAGCTGAACCAGATGATCAGTACTTTGGCTGCCAGAGATCATTCTTGGGGACAGGGTAGCTGAGGCAGACAGTCCCGGGACCGTGGTGTGCACGCCATGGAGACCAGATCCGGGCTCGAACAGCAGGTAGCTGAGCTAGTGCAGACATTGAAGCAGCCCAACAGTCTTATTCTGGGCAGAGGTTTGGCTACACCTCCAGTAGCTCAATGTCAGTGGTGCGAGAGCTCCAATCACCTAGTGGAGGACTGCCAGGCTATGAGGGAGTCTACCACTCCCCAAGAGCAGTTGGACTTCATCGCCAATGCTCGGCGCCTCGACCAGTACAACAACACATATAATGAGGGGTGGCGCCAGCATCCCAACTTCGCCTGGAGCAGCAACACCACTAAACCACCTGGTTTCCCAGCACCAACAGGTGGTTTTCAGCAGAGGCAGCCCTTCCAGGCTCGACAGGGGCCAGCCCCACAGCAGCAGCCCTACCAGCCTAGGCAGGGGCAACCATTCCAACAGCCCCAGCGTCAGTTTGTCGAGCCAGCAGCAGCCCCTACCCCAGATGACCGGATGACAAAGCTAGAAAATATTCTAGCTTCATTCATGACTAGCACTCAGGTTGCTATCACGTCACTGGAGGCAGGTCAGCGGAACCAGGGTGCCATTTTGCAAGATCTGCAGACCCAGGTGGGCATCTTGGCTCGCAAAAACACTACCAGGGCACCGGGGACTCTGCCTGCCACCACTATCCCGAATCCTCGGGATCCTCACCAGCTCCAGCAGCTGGATGCCATTTTTACTAGGAGCGGTAAGACCATATCTGCTGATCCTGTCCCGGCCAGACAGGAGGAACCACTACCTGCTTCAGCACTTCCAGCCGACGATGCAGAAGTGCGGGTGGAGAAGGAAGCCCCTGCTCCCAAGCCACAACCAGTGGTTAAGGAGCATGTACCCCAGCTTCACTTCCCCACTCGCCTACACAAAGACAAGTTGGAGACTGAGTTTGTCAAGTTTATGGCAATGTTGAAGCAGCTCAACATCAGCATACCGTTCGTGGAGGCACTGTCGAAGATGCCCAAGTATGCCAAGTTCATGAAAGATCTCCTCACCAACAAGAAGAAACTTGGGGATCTCTCGACAGTGTTGCTGAGCGAGGAGTGTTCTGCTATCCTGCAGAACAAGCTGCCCGAAAAGCGCAAGGATCCAGGGAGTTTTACTATCCCTCTTACTATTGGCAGCATGCATGTAGGCAAGTCCTTGGCGGACCTAGGCGCTAGCATAAATGTCATGCCATATAAATTGTATAAAAAGCTAGACCTAGGTGAACTTAGCCCTACTAGGATGAGCATTCAGCTAGCTGATCGTTCCATTGTGCATCCTAGGGGGATCATAGAGGATCTTCTTGTCAGTGTCGGTGCATTCACATATCCTGTTGATTTTGTTATTCTTGATATACATGAGGATGTGGATGTACCTTTGATTCTGGGTAGACTATTTCTTGCCACCGCCAAGGCACTTATTGATGTGCATGATGGTAAACTGATCCTGCGTGCTGGGAATGAACAAGCTACTTTTTCTGTGACTGAATTTGATCACTGTGCTATGATTGCTGTCACCCCTGTGCATGCTATGTCTGATCAGGTACACGAGCCTGTCGTGTATCCTTCTGCACCTCTTATTTTGCAGGACCCTCCTATCATTCCTTCGCCGCCACTCCATCCAGCCTCGCCTCCGAACAAAAATCTCAAGGAGGAGTGGCGGCCAAAGCAGCAGGTTGCTAAGCCTGCATGGAATAAGGGTGGAGACCACTATGAGCTGGTCCCACCTCCTGCACCACGACCACCCTGGCCGTCCGGGTACTCACTCGCCTGCATCTTGCCGGATGGCCAGGTCGAGCTGACCGATGATGGTGGTCGCATCCGTCGGGTGCATGGCCACAACCTGAAGCTGTACCTCAAGAGCGACGTGGATCCGCTCTTGGAGGCACCTATTCCTTCACTTCCCTGAGTATCCACCATGGGCGTCCAGCTAAAAGACTGTAAAGAAGCGCTTGTGGGGAGGCAACCCCACCACGGTTTGACTTTCTTTCTTGTGTTTTGAGTTGGATTGTAAACCGGTTTGGGTTTGGTTTGTTTTCTTTTGTTTTGGATGATGTATTATTGGGCTGACCATTGGACCTAACATATTGTGTTTGAGCTCTTTGGTTTCCTTTAGCTATGCTTGTCTTGACTGGTTCTCTATCCAGTCCGCTTCACTCCGACTGGTCCGCTTCCAGTCTCCTGCAGTCCGTGCATACTGGTAACATCGTTCCCCTTTTCCTTCCCTCTTCTCCATTGAGGGCAATGTCGATCTTAAGTGTGGGGGGATGTTTATCTTTTGACTGCATTAGATCTGTTTGTGTGCTTGGAGCCTAGTCCACTGTCCAAATTTTTAAATTTGAGGTCTCCAAGTACGTGTTTCCGTGCAATTGCCTGCTGAGTATGCTTTGAATTGACATTCTTTATAGTAATATGCAACCTAGGGAGGTAGTGTAGCACTATGGAGGATGTTGATGCATTTAAGAAGTCTCGTTTCTTCTTCATATTGTGTTGGTTGATTGAGTGAATTAGTGATCTTAGGACCCTTGAATTGTGTGGTGCTGTGGACTCTCTGCCTGTCATAGACTCTTGTTTCATGTT